AGCACATATTACATGCCATAGGTGTGGGTGCATGGGTGGAGGAAACAGGGTTCCTACCTTCCAAGAGCTCACACTTTAGCCAGAGAGTTAATGTGCAGTAGTGTAGGTTTCAGGCCTTTGCCTATGTGAGAGCTGATCTGAGCAATAACATAGCAGAGGAGGAATTAAGAATCTTTTAGAGGAAACTGAGGCTTAGCACATATAAGGCTTGGTAAAGGTCACCATAGCTAGTGATCAGGTTGAACTCATGTTGGTTAGAATAAAACAACTATTGTAGATCAGATGGTAGTGTGTAGTGTTAGGGCTCTGGGGACTCTCTGCACTACCAGTGAGAAGGATCTTGTGGCTGGAAGGAAATTAACTGGTTGAGGTTGTCCTATTCTCCAGAGTCATGGAGAAGTCATGTGTACTCAGAGTTTTCACAAACCTGGAGTGGAAGGACAGTTATATTGGAGGCTGGGAGTCAAAATCACATGGGATGAGAGTATAAGACCCGGAAGTGGTGTACCTCCTGAGGCTGTGCCAACGGCTCTGGCTGGGAGCCAACGAACCATGAGATCCTGGGCCGGTCCCTTGCCCTTTCTGTGCCTCAGTTTTCTAGTCTGTAAAATGGTGTAACAATCCTTGCTCTGTCTCTAGGAAAACTATAAAAGTGTTGTGCATATTCAAGGAATGCTATAAAATTACCATATATAATTATCATAGGCTGTGTGCAGTGGCTTATTCCTATAATCTCAGCACTCTAGGAGGCCAAGGTAGGAGGATTGCTTGAGCTCAGGAGTTCAAGACCAGCCTGGGAAACATAGTGAAAACACACCTTTATTAAAATAAGAATTTTTTTTAAAGACAATTATAAAAATATATTTTATTAAATTTTTTATTAACATTATGGAGCCTTACTGTGTGCAAGTCTGTATTCCAGACATTTTCTTGTGTTAACTAACTTACACACTTAGTTATAAGATCATGGACTCTAAAGCCCAGTGGGTCCCCAACCTGGCTGTGCACAGAACCCCTTCGGGAGCCTGTTAAGGTGCATATTCTGTGGTCTCACAGGTCTAAGGTAGAGCCCAGGAATCTGCATCTTGACCACATTCCCTGAGGGATTCTGAAGCACCTACAAGTTTCTGATCTGGACCAGAGAAGGGAAGGAACTTGCCAGAGGCCTCACATTGAATTGGAGACCAGGTTGAGGCTAAAACCCAGATCTCCAGCTCCTGGCCTGATCCTTTCCCTCTACTCTTCAGTTGCCCCCAAGTACCCTAGAGGAATGAAGGTGATGACTTTGGTGACACATGAGGATGCTGATGGTGGTGCTAAGGTGTACGGTGCTGTGGTAGGCATTTCACATGGCTTATCCCATTTAATGGCAATGAGGATAGAAAAGGGGACATTCGACTGGGCACAGTGCCTTATGCTTGTAATCCCAACACTTTGAGAGACCAAGGTGGGAGAATTGCTTAAGCCCAGAAGTTTGAGACCAGCCTGGGCAACAAAGTGAGACCTCGTCTGTACACAAAAATTTTTAAAATTAGCTGGGTGTGATGGCGCATGCCTGTAGTCCTAGCTACTTGGGAGGCTGAGGCAGGAGGATCCCTTGTCCCTGGAAGGTCACTGCCATGAGCTGTAAACGCATCCCTGCACTCCCGCCTGCCAGCCTGGGTGACAGAGTGAGACTCTGTCTTAAAACACACGCGCGCGCGCACACACGCACACACACACGGACACTTTCCACAGCCACATGATCCCCTGGCTCATTTGAGCATCAAGTGGCAGATTTTAATGTACCCTTGGAAAAGGGAGACTATGAGTGAGGCGCAGAGATACTGGAGTATTTGAAATCGAGTATTTGAAATTTGAAACCATACCATCGGTGCATTGTCCGTTCTCCAGGAGCATGTGCCCTCAAGGCAAGAGTTGTCTGCTAACCCGGTTACTTGAAGACAGGGCAGGCTGGCAGGAAGGAAACACGTATGTCCCACAAGGTGTGTACCTGATGCCCGTCCATCCATGCCAGCCTTCCACATGAGTCCCATGTACCTATGGGTGCTCAGTGTGCACATATTTGTGTGTATGTCCTGCCCCCTCTGTGGGTGTGCATGTGTGCCTGGGCACGCTCTGCTGTGTGTAGCACAGGCTTGAAGCAAGCAGCACCTCTGTGTGTGGGCATACGTGCAGAGGAGGATGTGCTGCTGCCGGCTGGAGCCTCTCCAGCGTTAAGAGGCTACTGAGAATGCGTGTATGTTGCAGGTGTATGTGTGTGTGTGTATGGAAAGGGTTGCAACGCAGAGCTCAGAAGGAGAAGGGCCATTAGAGAACACATTTGTTTGTTTGTTTGTTGGTCGGTTGGTTTTAGACAGAGTCTTGCTCTGTCACCCAGGCTGGAGTGCAGTGGTGCAATCTTGGCTCACTGCGACCTGAGCCTCCTGGGTTGAAGTGATTCTCTTGCCTCAGTCCCTCAAGTAGCTGGGATTACATGCATGCGCTACCATGCCTGGCGAATATTTTTAGTAGAGACGGAGTTTCACCATGTTGGACAGGCTGGTCTTGAACTCCTGACCTCAAGTGATCTGCCCGCCTCAGCCTCCCAAAGTGCTGGGATTATAGACGTGAGCCACTGCGCCCGGCCCACGCTTTTCTTATTCACGTCTTACCTCCATATTATGTGTATCATTCTTAAACCTGCCAGGTATGAGCCTGCCTCAGGACCTTAGCACTCGCTCTTCCCTCTGCCTGCATTGTTGCCCTAGACAAGCATATGCCTCACTCTCTCACCTTCTTACGTTCTTTGCTCAGATGCGCCCTCTCAGTGAGGATGGCTTTGGTTATCATATCTACCTTTGGTTATCATGTCTACCTTTGCAAATCACTCCTCACCCCTTACAGTCCGTATACCCCCAGTCCCTGCTTTATTTTTTATAGCATTTACCATCTGACTGACTTGTGTATTTATTATCTTGTTCCCTTACTTGAATGCAAGCAGAGGTTTTAATCTGTTTCCCTCCACGCCTGTGAACAGTGCCTGGCCCTTAGTTGGTGTACAATAAATACTCATGGAATGAATGAATCCATGCACCACCTATATGTATTTTCTTTAAATTTTGCCAGTGAAATGTCCACTTTAGCCTCTCCTTAAGCAGTAATATACCTGAGATCACAAGTGTGTTTATTATACCTCTTTTCCAATTCACATTTGAAATGTACGTAACTATTAAGATTTTAAATATCAGGGTACCACCTAAAATCCTTTTGCTTCCATTAGTGGTGGGGGCACTATACTCTAGGAACCACCAGTCCAGTCCAATCCCTCCTTTGGACAAATTGGATGCACTGAGGCCCCAAGAGGGTCAGGGATCAGCCCAGCGTCTCGCCCAAATTGTGACAGGACAGACCCTGAAACCAAATCTCCTGACTTCTAGTCTTCTTTTCTTTTGTAGTCTGAGGGAAACATGGAGGGCAGGACTGCATGATTCAGCCTTTCCCTGGCAGGAGACTCCTCCTGTTGGAGTGGGGCCAGCCCTGCCTGGTAATTGGTGAATGGCAGCAGAGGAGAGGGCCATGGCAGGGTCAGCCGCCTCCAGCACCCCAGAGCCATGGTGTCCTCCTCTGAGGGGCCCTGGGGTTCAAAACTGATTCTGGCTAGAAATGACATGGGGATCCCTGTGCAGAGAGGATGCTAGGGGGTGTTGGGAAGGGGGATGGGGTTGGGTCATGCCTGATTATGAGCAGAAGAGTGAGACCAGACCCAGAGAGGGGTGGTGAAGACAGGGAGAGAGACAGACACAGCCCCAGCCTGGTCGAGTTATGCAGAGGTGGGTGTGTGCAAAAGCCTACAGTGAACCACCGCCCCAAGGTGTGCACAGTGCTTTATACTTTAGAAATCATTGCTGCATCTCATTTACTCAGCAGCTACTCTGCAAAGCAGATATTATCATCCCTGTTTTACTGATGATGAAGTTGAGACTCAGAGAGGTGAAATGATTTACTGAAGGTAGCCCAGCAATTTGAATTGGATGCCTTGCTGAGCCATAGATGGGGGAAGAACTGGCTGCACCTCTGATTGGATTTGGTAAAGGAGGGCTGTCTGTGGGAGGAGCAGGCAGACTGAATGGATTCAGGTGCGAGGGGCCTACTGGAAACCCACAGTCCACTCACTGGCCAAATAACCTTGACAAATCGCAAAACCTTTCTTTTTGAGGCTCAGTTCCCTCATCTGTAAAATGAGAATAATGGCACTCCCTAACTCACAGCTTGTGAGGATAAAATAAAACAACATGATGAAAAATGATAACCCTGAAACCGAACGTCTCGCACATTTGATGTGCTCGGGAAGCAGCAACTTGAGTGATGAACATGAGTGCACCCGGCCCCTGACGAGTTTGCGCACAGTGACCACCTGCCACGACTGAGGGATTCCCAGTGCCTTCTTTGGCAGCTGTGAGTGAGCCTGAGACCCCGTCTGGGGGACCCGCAGGGGTTGGGGGCAGGTTTGTCTGTCCCAGAGCCCCAGGCTGGTGATGACGCCTCCTGGGGATAAACCTCGTCTCTCTGTTGTTTACCCCATGTGCGGTGACTTTGTCATTATCATTCCTCCTGCGTTTTTTCTCTGAGTTATTTATTTTTCTGTGAGGAAGGAATGTGGGGAATTTACCACAGGGCGCTGGCCTTCACGTTCAGCTGGGCTGCAGGGCGTCCTTTCCTATAAGAAGGAAGCTGCTGAGACAGATGGCAGGAGAGGTGGAGGCGGAGGGTCCTAGCTGGCTCTGTGGCCCAAGGAGTGGGGGGCGGTTAGGTAACTCACCCGGAGGCCCAGGTTCTGGTCTCTGGTCTTGAGCCTGGTAATGTACATAGCTCCTGTGGAACTGTTCCTGGCCCTTCCCATTCACCCCTGGCCTGTGGGCAAGCCCAGTGGGTGTGTTCTTCTATCAAAGTTTCCTTTCTATTCAGCTGGTCTAGGTTTGGGGTATGGGAGTGGGTAGGAGAGTGGGGTGGGGGTTATCTTGAACCTCCTAGTCTCTGCTGAGCTATCCTCATTGCTTAGAATGCTTCCTTATCTCCATCTTTCAAGATCTAGGATATATGTCACCTCCTCCAGGAAGCCTTCCTGGATTGCTTCATCCTAATTCATCTTTCTCTTAGGTTCTATGTTCTCCCCTCACTTCATGAAACATTCTTCCTCTTAGATCTAACACAGTGATTCCTCTTAGAGCTAACTTCATCTCCCTCTTCTCTCACAAGCGTGTTGCTCTCTCCTTCCTTCTCCTCCCACTCCCAGGAACCACCCTCTAGATCTTTGATCTAGAATCTAGATGATTCTTGGATTTAGACAAATCTAAAATTCATCTCCAGGGATGAATGGTGAAGCAAAATATGAAGGGGGAGGCTTTGGATTGTGGAAGTGCTCATCCTTTAGTAGTTTATTTAGTCAACACAGTGATGGTTTCAGCCCCTCCTGGGTGATGACTTCTGCTGAGTCTGGGGACATTTACAGAGGACGGAGACCAGTCCTGACCCTAGGCTGGCACAGGGCTAAGGAGAAGGACCACATCTTTGTGGTGGGCCCAGAGTGTGCCAGGCCCTGGGAAGAGTAGGGAACCCAGAGATGACCTAGGCCCCGCCCTGACCCTGGCAGAGACAGTTTAGGGGAAACCACCTCTTTCCCCTGCCCTGACTTGCCACCTTTTTGTCCTTTAGCTTATGTGTTTTCTCTGGAAGGCAGGGTGTGACGGTCCTTTCCGTATTCCTAAGGCTTCCAGGGAGCTGGGGGTGGGGAGAGTGAAATAGCAGGAGGGGGCTTCGTGAACACAGGCCTAGCTCACCAGGGTTGGGCTGGAGAGGTGGAAGGCTGGGCTGTGATCCTGTGATCCTCTCCGTGAGCCCTCCCTTTTCAGTTTGCTGTATACTTGGGGCTCAGCCTGCCTCTCTCTGGGTTACCATCTCAAAGTTTCTAAAAATCGACTGATTATAGATTAATGATTACCCCAGTAGAGTGGGCAAGAGAGAGGCTGTGGCTCCTGGCCTTTGGCAGGGCCCTGGTCAGCCAGCAGGGAGCAGGGCTTGTGGTCTGCAAGGATAGAAGATGGGCCGGGCCTGCGCTGACTGAGAAGCCCTCATCTTAGCTTCCCCTAACCCCTCCATCTCTGCCCTCCCTGATCCCGACCCAGTGCCAGCAGAGAGAAACCAGAAGTTTGTCCAGGCCCAGCCTCCTTCCCCTGGGTTTCTGAGTTTTCTCAACCTGCTGTTTCCTCTCAGCCCTGTTTCTGTTTGGGGTCTCTGGGCCAGGTTGAACAGGGGAGGAGCACTGATCTAGGAGTCTCAATGGACTGATGAGGGCTTCCGACAAGAAATGGCTGTTGGGCTGGGCCTGGGTGGGTGAGTAGGGAAGGTGAGTTTGCTTTGTGGGGAGCTCTTCGGAAGGAAGGCGTCCAGGCTTGCGATCAGTCAGACCACGAGGGGCCCTTGCTAAGCTGTGAGACCTGGAGTGAGTTAGCTGCTTCTGTGTGCCTCATCTTCCTCATCTACGAAATGGGGATAAGGGAACCTCCTCTATGAGCTGTTGTGAGGATTAAATGAGAAAAGGCACATTAAACCCCTGGCTTGGCAGCATCTGGTGCTCCCAAAATGTTGGCTCTTGTCATTCTCACAGATTTCGTGTTTATTCTGCAAGTGCCAGTGGAAGATGTGGAGGGGACCAGGGAGGAACACAGAGGTGAAGCCGTAAAGGCCCCTGCCCTCGAGGCCGCTGCAGTCTCTGGGGGAAAACAGGGCCCAGAGCCTGATTGCTACAAAGCAAAACACTGGGAGGGGGCGGCATGGCCCACGTGACTGGCCCTGAACTGGGCATTGGGCCAACCCGGGCTTGAATTTCAGCTCTTCCTCTGGCTGGCTGTGCGACCTTGAGCAAGTCACTGCACCCCTCTGAGCCAGCATCATCTCTAATGTGGAGATGAGGATAGTGCTGGCCTCCTGGGTTGCTGTGGAAGTAAGTGAAGTAAGGCCCTGCCCTGGTACCTGGCGTGTGGTGAGCACAGCCTGAAAGAGAACTTTTACTAGAATGAATAACACACAAGGTGATGGTTATGAAGTGGGGCAGATAGAACGTTGGTGGATCAGGCAAGGCTTTTTGGAGGGGGTGGTAGCATTCTAGGTAGGCCGGAAATCTGAGGGATTAGGGCATGTAGAAAGGATGTGAGACAGAGGAGGGCTCCCGGTAGAGGGGGTCTGTGCAAACGCTGCTCTGCAGGCAGGAATTCATTGGGCAACTGTGGGAACTGCAGGCCACCGAACTCCCTCCACTGTTGCTGACGGCACAAAGAGAAGGTGAGTGAGCTCTTGGGCAGGCCCCAGTGGAGGGGCTTTGAGTGCCAGGATGAAGCCTCTCCTCTTGATCCTCCATGTCCTGGGGAGGCAGCCGAGGGTTTGGAGCAGGAGAGAGGCATGAGTGGAGCCCAGAGGGAGGAAGATGAATCTGGCAGCGTGGGGCGGGTAGATTGGCGGGGGAGAGACTGGGGGTGGAGAGGCCATTTAAAAGGCTGTTGCAAAATCGGTTTTCCTGATAAAGAGCTGGGCTGAGTCATCTGTGGAGGAGAAAAGTCATATCCAGCTCCTTCGTGTTGCTGTCGATGTGGGATTTTCCTGGCTTCGTCAGCCAGGCAATTGGCTGCCTTTGCCGGAGGCTTTGAGAACCGAGGCCCGAAGGCCGGCAGGAGCATCCAGGGAGAAGCTTGGCTTCAGGGAGGACCCAGCAGAGTGAGTAAGATGAGCACCCGGAGGTGCCTTTGTGGCTTGGGGTATATGACTTAGGGCATGTGGTATCCCCCTCTGATCTGAGTCTCTCCTCTGGGCGTCAAGGGAGAGGTACGTGGTGATTTCTGCCAGCCTGTGCGTGGTGAGGCGGGGGCTGGGCCTGGGGCTCCCCACCCCACTTCTGTGTCTTCTCCCATGCGCGGCAGTCCTTCCCACCAAAGCCTAGATTATTCTCCTCCCAAGAGGAGGTCTGGCAGTCTGCCGACCCCAGTCAGGTCGCACTCACCATGACTGTGGGGATGGAGAACTCCCCAGGGCATGGAGCCCGTGGCATTTCCTCCTTTCAGTGGGAGGAGTGGGGAAGGGGCTGGCAAGGTAGCCAGGCCATTACTCAGGCCTATCCATTTTCCTGCCTCCAGCTGAGCCAGAGGTTGTGCAGTGGCCAGTCATTGGTTCCTTCCTGACCTCACCAGGGGGGCAGTTTACCCAGCCTGTTTACCCTTCCTGTTGCCAAGACCCCTGGACAACCACAATGGGCTGCCTTGAGCCAATCTCTATTCCTACCCCTGGCTCCCTGTCCCACCCCACCCCACCCGACCCTGGCTGGACACTCCCATTGACGGCATCGTGTGAAGAAGCATTTCCTTGAATTCTCCCTGTCCTGACCTTCTGCTCTGGCCTCCCCTCCCCGGCCCCACCTCCCTCCTGTGGATCCTCCATCCACACGGGCCCCAAGTGGTGGGCAGAACAGGCAGCTGTCTACAGTGGGTGGTAGGGGTGGGGGAAAGGGTTTGTCCCTTCCTACGCCAAACGAGAACTGGGGTCTCCTGACTCCCAACATTGTGATCTTCCCACTCTACTAATCTTTCATGCCTTAGCAGTCCTTTCTACCTTAGTAAGAATGAGTTCATCAACTCTTCTTCTGAGAGGAAGAAGTGGGAGAAAGAAGGAGTTGTTCTAGGCAGCTGGGTTTTCTGGGGAGAAGACATTGCTGAGGGGCACTGATCACGAGATGAGGAAGCGGAGGGCTTTGCAGACCATCATCCAGGAGCACTGGAGCCTCTCTTGTTTTTCGTCTTTCCAGAGTCCTAGTCTGGAAGGAGAATAGTTAAGAGATTAGACTCAGAGCCAGACTTTTCTGAGTTTTGAGTTCCAGCTGTGCCACTCTTAAGTTGTGTGGCCCTGGGCAGGTCTCTCTGAGCCCCAGTTTCACCTGCAGAATGAGAAGAATCACAGGACTTACCTCTTGGAGGTGCTGTGAGAACTGAGCAAGGTGGTGAGCATAAAGTGCACAGCACTGCACCTGGGCTGCAGCGGGGGCTCAGTAGTGACCGCGGTCACTGCAAACCCCCTTCTAATGACTGTGCTGGGGCTTCTCGCCTACTCCCACACTTCAGGATTTACCCTGTTGGACCCAAGTCTCCTGACCCCAGGCACCTTTTCATTGTGCCCGCGCTCCACCCCTTCCTCTCTTGAAGGCCTGTCTTCAGGGCTCCTGATCCAATGTCCAGGGTAGGTCTTTAAAGGGCTAACCCCCCAACCTGGCTCTGCATCAGTTTAGGTGGGGAGACGGTGGGGACATCATGACTTGCACAAGTGCAGGCCACAGCCAGGCCAATTGAGGGTTCAATGAGGTACCTGTCCCCTGTAGCCTTTGGCTACTTCCCCACCCCCACCTTTGACACCAGGAGCAAGATTGTGGAGCAGCTGCCTGGGATATTGCCAGAGAGGGCAGCTCCCTAGTCTGAGGAATTTTAGATGGACTTGCCCCCTGGTGCCCTGCTACAAGGGACTCTGGGGTGCCCCCTCCCTCCCCAGCTTTGTTTGTGAAGGGTGGCAAAAATCATCTGGATGGCTGGCTGGATCTGGTCCAAACCTCCTGCTGAATTCCTTTTCCATGGAGTCACTGTGGGCTGGAGTGCGGGCTGCAGGAGCTTGCCTTGGAGGGCAGGGCTCTCTTACCTCCTGGCCTTTTCTGCCATTCCTCTTGTTCCAGAACAGTAGCTTGGGAGCAGTTCTAAGCTCAGAGAGGTGGCGGTGATGGGATCTTAGCGGCAGCCCAGGCTGTGAATGGAGCCTCACTGGGAGTCAGCTGACCTGGTCTTGGACTCACATCCTCCTCTCTGACCCCTTCCTTGGCTGGGCCTCCCAGGCCAGCTTATTTCTAAAGGCCCTGCACACTCTGACATTTGAGGATTTTCTAAACCCATGGCCTTCTAGAGCCAGTAAGGAGAAAAGCAGAAAAATGCAAGGGCATTGAGAGGTCTGGAGTAATTAAACACTGAAGTGCTTTCTATGAGCCTCGCATGGTAGGAACCGGCCAGCCAGGAGCCTAGTGCTCTCTGCAGTAACGTAGAGCCAGGTGTGAACACAGCTCTACTCCTTCTGGCTCTGTGATCTTGGGCAGCTCACTTTACCTCTCTGAGCCGTAGATTTCTCATTAACAAATAATAAGTTTGTGCCTTGTAGGGTTGTTTTGAAAATTAAATATGAGTAAAGTATGTGTATAGGTATACAGTAAGTGACCAATCAATGTTAGCTACTGTTGCTGCAACTGTGTCATAAGAAACACTGGTAGGACCACAGATGTTTATCCTGACCCTGTCCCAAGGGGATCTGATGTATCTGCAAATCTCTGCAGGGCTGTCAGGCTGGAATGAATGAGAAAACTTTTTTTTTTTTTTTTTTGAGACGGAATGTTGCTCTGTCGCCCAGGCTGGAGCGCAGTGGTGTGATCTCGGCTCACCGCAATCTCTGCCTCCCTGGTTCAAGTGATTCTTCTGCCTCACCTTCCAAGTAGCTGGGATTACAGGCGCCTGCCACCACACCCAGCTAATTTTTGTATTTTTAGTAGAGATGGGACTTCACCATATTGGCCAGGCTGGTCTTGAACTCCTGACCTCATTATCCATCTACCTTGGTCCCCCAAAATGCTGGGATTACAGATGTGAACCACTGCGCCCAGCTGAGAAGAGTTTTTTTCTGTGAGGCCTGGGGAGGCAGACCCACATCAAGAAAGTGGATGAAGGCTGGACATGGTGGCTCACACCTGTAATCCCAGCGCTTTGGGAGGTTGAGGTGGGTGGATCACTTGAGCGCAGGAGTTCAAGATCAGCCTGGGCAACATAGTGAAACCCTGTCTCTACAAAAAATACAACAATTAGCCAGGCATGGTGGCATATGCCTGTAGTCCCAGTTACTCAGGAGGCTGAGGTGGGAGGAATGCTTGATCCTGGAAGGTTGAGGCTACAGTGAACCATGATGGCGCCACTGCCCTCCAGCCTGAGCGACAGAGCAAGATCCTATCTCAGAAAAAAAAAAAAAAAAAAGTGGATGGAAGTTAATGTAAGGAGGAACTTTCTAACTGAGGAATGTTAATTAGTGGAAGGCACCTCCTGGGGGAGTGAGCTCATGCCACCTGAGTACATAAGCAGAGACTTGCACACTCAAGGGTGTGGTTTTGAAGATGCGAGAATTGTGTGGGGATTGGACTTGGTGACAGCCGCCTCTGAGATTCCGAGGTTCCGTGTTTGGGGACAGTAAGCTCTGCCTCCCCATAGCTCTGGAATCCCCTGCTATTTGACCTTCAGCGAATCGCCTATGCTAGAAGAGCATCTGACCTTTTCCAGGGAGTGGAATGGGGTGACCAATTGCCAGCTTATGCCAGGAGAGCATGAGCCCTCTGCCCACCTGGGCTTCATGGCAGTCAGGCCTTGGCATTCATGATCTCATTGTGGCCTCCCAACACTCATGTCGAGTTAAGGAGACTGTGGCTCTGAGAGGTACAGTAACTTGCCAAGGTCACACGGCTAGCAAATGGCAGAGCTTGGATTCAGGCCAGGACGCCTGGTTTCTAAGCAGAGCAGGGGAGACGGATGTTGCATGAGCTGAGCAACCTCTCAGAGCCCACCCCATCCCTTAGGCACCTCCCAGGGGAACAGCCTGGCTAATAGACATCTTTAATAGATAGGGTGATCCAGGCAGGAGAGGAGTCCTATTGAGGGGAGTAGTATCATGGGTGGGTGGGATAGGCTGTGTGCTTTCACTGTTTCTAATAGGTTAGGGGAAAGCCAGGTTCGATGGAGGAGGGAAGAAGGAGGTTGCGGCCAGAAAACCTGTGGCTGCTCGGCCTGGCCCCAGTGGAGTTGCTGTGACGCTGCTGGTCACAGCTTCTCTGCTCTGTGTGGACCTCCCTGTGGCTCCCATGTGGGGTCAGCCGGCTCTACCCTGGGCTACTCTCTGGACCTCTGTTTCCCACCTATAAAACAGAGTGGTGATGAAATACCTCTCTGTAAGAATTCTTCCAGCTCTGAGAGTCCATGAATTCAGACCTCGCTGGCAAGATGCCTAGAAAGACTGTCCCTGGAGACAGACTCAGCATGCCATGGCCAGTGCTAATGAGGGCAAGGGAGGGGAGGGCAGGGTCAGATTCCTCAAGAACTAATTAGCTTCCCACAGTAGGGAGGAGAGGGGTGATGGAGGAAGGAATTTTCTTAGCCACTGATGTTGTCTCTGACCCTGGTCATAGGCTGATCCATCCACCTGTCTGTTAAGGCGTTTGTTCATGCATCCTTTGTTCATTAATTATTCAACAATTATAAATTGAGGACCAACTGTGTGCCAGCTGGGCACCGGGGATAGAAAGAGAAATGGTTGCCTATAGTGATTTTATAGATGAACAGGGGACTGAATTCAGCCTGATCTCAGGACCTCAAGTCCCAGATGGACCCCTGTCCCCTGATGACCTTGTTCCTGCCCCTTATGTCCCAAAGAGACCTTTTGGGATAAGCAGACAGCTTGAGCATGGGCTGGAGACCCCAGAAAGAACAGTTCTGACCTCAGCTTTGTCACCCTTGGCTTTGCAGCCTTGGGGCATTTCCTTATATATCTCTGAACCTCTGTTTCTTCTTCTGAAAAACACAGGCAAGCAATGCTTGTCTCATTGTGGTCTTGTGCAGATAAAATAAAAGAATGCAATGTTCTAGAGTACTCGTTGGTGAAACTAGCTCAATTTGTTACTTTTCTAGTGTTAAAGGATGTGAATTTTAAAATGATTATTTAAGTAAAAATGGGAAGAAATCCTGGGAGGAGTAGAATAATGACACAAACAGTGGTTACCTGATTGTGATATGGAGTAATCAGGGATGGGGTGACACTTTTTACTGTATACCTTTTTATGTTTTAATTTTTAGGGTCAGGTATGGTGGCTCATGCCTATAATCTCAGCATTTTAGGAAGCCAAGGCCAGAGTATCACTTGGGCCCAGGAGTTTGAGACCAGCCTGGGCAGCACAGCAAGACCCCTTCTCTACAAAAAATACAAAAAAAAAAAAATTGGCTAAGCATGGTGGTGCACACTGATGATGGTCCAGCCGTTTGGGAGGCCGAGGTGGGAGGATGGCTTGAGCCCAGGAGGTTGAGGCTACAGTGAGCTATGATGGTGCCACTGCATGCCAGCCTGGGCAACAGAGCAAGATCCTGTCTCAGAAAAGTAAAAATAAAATAAAAATGAATGAATAAATAAATTTTTAGACTATGTGAATGTATTACCTACTCTAAAAAGGGGAAATATTAGTGACTTCTCTTTATAAAATCAAAGCACATGCCTGTAATCCCAGCACTTCGAGGGACTGAGGTGGGCGGATCACTTGAGCCCACCTGAGTTTGAGACCAGCCTAAGCAACATGGTGAAACCCTGTCTCTACAAAAAAAAAAAAAAATTAGCTGAGTATGGTAGCACACACCTGTAGTCCCAGTTACTCGGGGAGCTGAGGCAGGAGAATCACTTGATCCCAGGACGTGGAGGCTGCAGTGAGCTGAGATCTCATCACTGCACTCCAGCCTGGGTGATGGAGTGAGACACTGTCTCAAAAAAATAAAAAAATACAGATTAAAAAAATTAACCCAGACAGTGGTTTATTAAAATATTTTTGTTTAAAAAAATTAGAGCACATTCCTATACTATAAGTCTGGAAGTATAAAGGGCCCTAAGGAAGGCACACAGAAAATATTCATTTGTGCATTCAGCAATATCTACTGAGTGCCACTGTATGACAGGTGCTGTTCTAGGAGCTGCTGTTACAGTGATAAACAAGTCAGGTGGCTGGGCGCGGTGGCTCACGCCTGTAATTCCAGCACTTTGGGAGGCCAAGGCGGGTGGATCATCTCAGGTCAGGAGTTTGAGACCAACCTGGCCAACATGGTGAAACTCCATTTCTACTAAAAATACAAAAAGTAGCTGGGCATAGTGGCGCATGCCTATAATCCCAGCTACTTGGGAGGCTGAGGCAGGAGAATCACTTGAACCCAGGAGGCGGAGGTTGCAGTGAGCTGAGATTGCGCCACTGCACTCTAGCCTGGGTGACAAGAGCGAAACTCCTTCTCAAAAAAACAAAAAACAAAAAAAACATGTCAGGCAAGGTCATTGCCCCTTGGAGCTATGCTCTAGGCGAGGAGATGGATAATAGAGAGGGAAACATAAAGATCGTTTCAACTTGGTGAATGCTATGGAGGAAACAAAACAGATTGGGATAGGAGAAGGAAAGGTGCCTCCAGAGAGGGGTCATTGCAGCTGGGACTTGAGTGGCAAGAAGGAACCAGCATGGACTGCTACCTGGGAAAAGATTATTCCAAGCAGAGGGAGCAGCAAGTCCAAAGGCCCTGGGGCAGGAACATACTTGGCATTTTCAAGGAAGAGAAGCAAGCCAGTGTGGCAGAGCCTAGTGAGAGAGGAGAAGGCGGTGGGGAGGAGCCAGGGACACGGTGGGACTTCTAGGGTGAGGTGTTCGTACTCAGTTTGGTAAAGTGCCGTATCAGCAACTGTCAGGGGGAATCCAAATCAGGGACCAGTTAATCCTGAGAGGATAATCAGAGTGGCGTAGAGGTGGTGGCATTTGAGTTGGGCCATGAAAGGTAGGTCAGGGCTGATTATGAAGTGAGCTAATTCTAAGAAACAGTGAGTGACAATTAAATTCCAGAAGAAGAGATCCTGTGTAGGGAGGGCTGAGGCGACCATCTCGGTCTGCCTGTCTGTCTGTGCACCCCTGTGTCACTGCATTCCTGTTTGCTAACTGGGCTTCTGTCCCTCCCTGCAGCGTTGGGCCAGAGCACTAGCCTCACGGAGAAGGATCTGAAAGAGGCCAAGGCTCGGAGCCAGCAGATTGCAGCGCAGCTGACCACCCCTCCCAGCTCCAATTCCCGTGGCGTCCAGCTCTTCAACAGGCGCCGGCAGAGGGTGAACGAGTTCACCTTGGAGAGCCACGGCCAGAGGGGACAGAAGCCCAGCCAGGAGTCCCTCAAAGTGCTCCCTGAAAGCCCCCCAGGCCATGCCCCGGGGCTCAGCCTGAGTTCCACCTCGCTGCCGGAGCCAGGCCCTCCACGGCACCCCAATCCCCAGAGCCCCGACAGCGGGGTCCCTGGCCACAGCATGGAGGGGTACTCAGAGGAGGCTAGCTTGCTGCGGCACCTGGAGAGGGTTGCCAGTGAGGAGGAAGAGGTGCCACTGGTGGTTTATCTAAAGGAGAACGCAGCACTGCTGACAGCCAATGGGCTCCACCTGTCCCAAAACCGAGAGGCCCAGCAGTCCTCACCAGCCCCACCTCCAGCTGAGGACCACAGCCCAGCTGCAGATGTCAACCAAAACCTTGCCTCGCCCAGTGCCACACTCACCACACCAGTTTCTAACAGCAGCCACAACCCGCCAACCACCGATGTCAATCAGAACCCACCGGCAACTGTCGTTCCGCAGAGCCTGCCACTTTCTAGCATCCAACAGAATTCCTCAGAGGCCCAACTCCCATCCAATGGCACAGTGCCTGCTTCCAAACCCAGCACCCTGTGTGCTGACGGGCAACCCCAGGCACCGGCTGAGGAAGTGAGGTGCAGCACACTCCTAATTGACAAGGTATCAACTCCAGCTACCACCACCAGCACCTTCTCCAGAGAAGCTACGCTCATCCCCAGCTCCAGGCCCCCAGCCTCAGATTTCATGTCCAGTTCCCTGCTCATTGACCTCCAGCCCAACACCCTGGTGGTGTCAGCAGATCAAGAGATGTCTGGGCGAGCAGCTGCCACCACACCCACCAAGGTCTACAGTGAGGTCCACTTCACACTGGCCAAGCCCCCATCAGTGGTCAACAGGACGGCCAGGCCTTTTGGGATCCAGGCGCCAGGGGGCACCAGCCAGATGGAGAGGAGCCCCATGCTAGAGAGACGACATTTTGGAGAGAAGGCCCCGGCTCCCCAGCCCCCCAGTATCCCAGACAGGAGTCCCCGGCCACAGAGACACATAATGTCCCACAGCCCCATGGTGGAAAGGAGGCTGATGGGGCAGCGAAGCCCAGCCTCAGAGAGACGCCCCTTGGGGAACTTCACTGCACCCCCCACCTACACTGAGACCTTGTCCACAGCCCCTGTGGCTTCCTGGGTGAGGTCTCCTCCCTCATATTCTGCCCTGTACCCCAGCTCCGACCCCAAGTCTTCTCATCTGAAGGGCCAGGCTGTTCCTGCCAGCAAGACAGGCATTCTGGAGGAGTCGATGGCCCGCCGGGGCAGCCGCAAATCCATGTTTACCTTCGTGGAGAAGCCCAAGGTGACCCCGAATCCAGACCTGCTGGATCTGGTACAGACAGCAGACGAGAAGCGGCGGCAGAGGGACCAGGGGGAGGTAGGCGTGGAGGAGGAGCCCTTCGCACTGGGGGCCGAGGCCTCCAACTTCCAGCAGGAGCCAGCACCTCGCGACAGGGCCAGCCCTGCGGCGGTAGAGGAGGCGGTCCCAGAGTGGGCCTCCTGCCTCAAGTCACCCCGCATCCAGGCCAAGCCGAAGCCCAAACCCAACCAGAACCTCTCTGAGGCCTCTGGGAAGGGGGCTGAGCTCTATGCCCGCCGCCAGTCACGGATGGAGAAATACGTCATCGAGTCTTCAAGTCATACACCGGAGCTGGCCCGCTGCCCATCACCTACCATGTCCCTGCCTTCCTCTTGGAAATACCCCACTAACGCCCCCGGGGCCTTCCGAGTGGCATCCCGAAGCCCAGCCCGGACCCCGCCTGCCTCCCTCTACCATGGCTACCTGCCTGAGAACGGGGTCCTGCGCCCAGAGCCCACCAAGCAGCCGCCGTACCAGCTGCGGCCCTCGCTCTTTGTCCTCTCGCCTATCAAGGAGCCTGCCAAGGTCTCGCCAAGAGCTGCCTCGCCTGCCAAGCCCAGCTCCTTGGACCTCGTGCCCAACCTGCCCAAGGGGGCTCTCCCTCCGTCTCCTGCCCTGCCTCGGCCCTCCCGCTCCTCACCGGGCCTCTACACCTCCCCCGGCCAGGACAGCCTGCAGCCCACTGCTGTGAGCCCTCCCTACGGCGGTGACATCTCCCCTGTGTCTCCCTCCAGGGCATGGTCTCCCCGAGCCAAGCAGGCCCCCAGGCCCTCCTTCTCTACCCGGAACGCCGGGATTGAGGCTCAGGTGTGGAAGCCTTCCTTCTGCTTCAAGTAACGAACCCCACTGGGGTCCCACTGCCGGTCAAGTTCCCCTCCTTGAGGGCCAGATGGAGAGCAGACGTGGCAGGAAATGGCACAGAGCTGAGTGAGGAGAATGGGGAGTCCATGGTTCAAGGTCAGATGCGGCCACCAGCTGGCTTTGTGACCTTGGGCGAGTCGCCTCCCCTCTCTGAGCGGAAGCTGCCCCTCCCCTACTACAACGGGGGTCGGACTCCATGTCTGAGTGGGGAGGAGGGTCATGGAGAGAGAACTGTCTGGCAGCCTGATGCGGTAGAGGGGCATCCACTGGCCTTTGTGAGCTGTAGGGATGCAGCGTCTGATGCCAGCGTCTTGCTGGAGGAGTGGCCTAGAAGGGGATCCTAACAGGGACTTCTGGAGCAGACAGAGCCTGCCAGTGCCTGTGGAGTCAGCCAGCCAAGGGTCTGCCTCCTCAGCTGCCCCAGCGGGGGCCTCCCTCCTGAGGCTCAAGCTCCTGGCATCTTTCTTCCTATCGCTGGATTCTCACCTCCACGGGCCTGTCTCTTCTGCCTCTGCCTTCTGGACACCGTTTCCTCTCCGCTGCTTCAGAGAGCTTTGCCCCGCCTCCGCCTGCGCTCCTCTCCGGGGTCCTTCTGCTGGCTGCGGACTCAGCCCACCACTGCTGTCTGACGCTTTTCTTCCTGCCCCCTCCGAGGCCTGGCTCTGTTTTAGGGAGACCACTGGGTCCAGGCCTCAGCCCCAGTTCTTCCTGGCTTGCTGTCACTGCTGTAGGGGTGGGGGACGTCCTAGGGGATCCCCAAGAGGAGAGCCCTGTAGGAGGCTGTGCAGATGTGGGTGTGCCACAGGGAGGGTGGCCCCTAGCCATGTATCCATTGGCTGTTTTGGCTTCAGATGCAACCAAGATCTGCCTGACTAAAAGAAGCCACCTCAGTGCACTGGAACGGGGCCCAGGGGGAGGCAGGAGAGGAGGGTTCTGGTCCTATGTCACCCTCCCATTTGGTGTGTAACTTTGGCCCACTCACGTTCTCTCTTTGGGCCTCAGTTTTATCATTTATACAAAGAGGGCTTTTCTAGCTGTAACAATCTGTGAGGATTGAGAGGATAGGTTGGTTCTTTGAAGGAAGACCTTGTAAGTGACAAGACAATCCCCTGGGAAGAAAGAGAAAGGGAATGGGCTATTGCCAAAGGACAGGTGGCGTTAGATGGCTGTGAGGGTGACCTGGTGAGGGAAGGGTTGGAATGAGCTGCTGCAAGAGGCCAAGGGATGCCTGGGCTGGGCTGGGCTGGCTCAGGCTCACGATTGCCTGGGGACGGTGGGAGCACCAGCAGGACCTAGGGCAAGGCATAGCAGTGTAGTGGGAAGGGACAGAAGAGACCTTTAGAGTTTTGAGGAAAATCTGGGACTTGAAACCTGGATTCTAACAGACCAACTGCATGTGTGTCTGTAGGTCTCAGTTTCCACATTCATACAGTGAGAGTGTTAAGTCAGGTAGCTGGAGACTCCCCGTCACCTCTGACACTTTTAGAGGTGATATGATGCAGCCCCCGACCAAATCAGGCTTTGTAGGGGGTGAGAGAATACAGACATAAGTGGCAGGATTCAGATGGAAGCTTCGCAAGGCTGGGGGCCGAGGACCACCCACTTCTCTTTCCCAGTCCTATTTCTGGGCTCCCCAGTGGGGCAAGGGGTGGTGGAGGCGGTGCCCATGCTGGGCTGAGCCTGCAGTTTTTGTGAGCTCTGGGCTTGTCTCCATGGAAACAGGGGTGCCTTCTTAGTGAGCTCATTTCACACAAATCAAGGGGGTATGCATGGGGGAGTTGTGAGTGAGCTCAGCTCCTTCAGGCCTGGCCCCTCCCAGAACAGAGTGAAGCCCCTGCCCTGGACCCCTGCTCCCTTCGACCCTTGAGGGCCATCAATGGAAGAGCCCACCCTTCATTCTGCAACTCCTGCGGCCAGGCTGAGCTCTGCCCCCAACTTTGTTTTCTCTCATATTCTCAATACACTCTGCCTCAAATCCGTCTTGCTTCTTTCTTTCTTCCGTGCTGCTAGGGGTCAGGGTTCCCTTCCTCCTCCCTGATTCTAGCCTGGGAAGTGGAGTGGGCCTGCTCAATTACTGTGCGTGAAAGTGTGGCTGTGTCCTGCGTGCTGCCTGCATCTGCTGTATGTCTGGTTCTGCACGGGTACAGACGTGTGCTGGCTTGGAAGTGAGGCCTTCCTCTCTACAGCACTCAGGGCCAGAACCCTGTGCAAATAGCAACCTTTTGTTCTTTCGTTCCCTCAGAGTTTGGCCAAAAATACTGTAGAGGATTTTTGGGGAAAATGCACTACCTCTTCTGGTTCAGGTTTGTTTGGGTTCTTTACAAGTGGAATAGAAATGCCTCTAGCCAGCATTCGTTCTCCAGTTCCCTCAGTCCCTCCCTCCTCTCTATCATCTACACTTGGCCATTTCCCACTTTTGCCATTGTTTTCACTGTCTGGATCCTGAAAGCATGGAGTTTTTGCCCCTGGTGGGGAGGAAAGAACTGCCATAGAGGGTCAGGAGAACTGGGTTTTAACCCCAGGTCTGCATCTGATTCGTGTGTGACCTCAGATAACCTCTTCCAATCTCTGGGCCTCAGTTTCCCCTTCTGTGCAGTGAAAGGATTACAGAAGGTGGTATGGGAGCCCCGTTTGGTCTCTGACAGTCCAGGTTTGACTGTGTTCTACTTATGCATTCACCTCACACACGTGCCCTGCTTTGGGTCTGGGGTTGGGTTGAGCGGATGCTACTTTTTGAATTTTCACCCACCGCATTCCCAAGGAGCTCTGGTGTGCATGGTGCATTGAACAGTCTGTCAGAAAGTGAAGAGTTCTGATTTCCTGCAGCCTTTTCCTATTGTGCACACCCCCCACTCCAAACATACACACAGAGTCAGTGCCCAGGCATGGCTGTTAGAGTGAGGTCAGGCTCTGGCCCATCTCCAGATATGAGGAGCTGCTTACCACTGCCCTCAACATTCAACCCCATTTGAGCCTTTCTGTTTTGTAGTCTTGGCTGAATTGTTGTTCCTTCCACTTATCGGCCCCAGCATTCCCCTTGTGGTCACCAAAGGGAGAAACAATGCTTTAGAGATTTTCAGGTGGTTATCATAGCTCTCCTGCACAGCCTACTCTCCTGGCTGAAGACCCCAGGTTCCTCTGCCTTGGGTGGTTACTGACTGGCTTGGGTCATGAACTCTAGGCCCCACCTCCCTGCTCAGGGTGGCACTGTGGTCAGGTGTTGGGTCATGCCAGAGCCCACCCTGATTTGGCATTTGGCCCTAGAGCTGGGACCTCCCTCCCAGCTCCTCTCCCTAAACTGTGGAGTCTGCCTTCTACGACCAGGCTGACTGGGATGTTTCATAGACACAGAGAAGCTCCCAGTGTCTCTGGCTCATGTATACACAATTCTGACCCTGGGAGGAAAAGAGTGGGATCCCAGGCTGAGCCTTAACTTTCAGCTTGATGACTGGGAGCTTGGATGTCCCTAGGGAGTCTCTAAGGGTCACTCCAGCATTAGCATCCCATGAAACATGTCCTGCTCAGGCTGTTGTATAACATTCCGCTTTAGTTTAAAGGGCTCCAATTTAGAGTCTGGGCTCATCTAGCAGCTGCTACATTCTGTTTGGATAAAACATACAATTAGTGTCTATTTCCTTTGGACTGGAAGGAATTAGAAGACCCTCAGTTGGATGAGAGGATGACTGGCTTGGTTATGGCTGATCACTGATTGGATGAAAGAATAAATCTTTGGATGGTTCTAGATTTTGATTGGGTAGGAAGCATGGAATGGCCTGGCTAGCTCTGAACTCTGGTGGATGACTGCTGGTGAATTTGGATTGGATTGAATGGCAAGGTGGACTGGTTATTGCTGGAATCTGATTGGGTGAACAGTTGGAAAGTTCAGGAGATACATGTTAGGCAGGGATTCCCAAGCCCTCCACTTTCAAACCAGTTCAAACTGCTTAAACATGTAGGCTTTGAGCCGCGCACACACACACACACACACACACACACACACTCTTCCCAGTGGGGCAGAACACACTAGATTGTTATTTACACCTCTGAGCTTCATTTTCATCATTTGTAAGATGGGTGTGATAATGCTAGTTACCTCACTAGTCTGTTGTGAAAACCTAATGAGATAAAGGATGAGAACGAAGTTTGTAGACTGAAAGTCCTTAAGTACATAGGAAACAGGCATGGCCGTGCATTGCCAACCAGTGCTTCATAGCCTCCAAGCTGTTCACCATCTTGGCCTCTCCAAAACCACACTCCCCTCCCCATGCTGTGAAAAAGCTCAGTGAGGGGCATGTGCTGTCTCGGGAGGAATGACCCGACTTCCTTTTGTATTTCCATCTGTCAGGAGGATCTTCCTCCCTGCTTGGGCATCGAAGGAAAGATGAGGAAGTGACCATGGCGACATGGCAAGGGGTTTGGGGCTGAGAGGGTCTTTCCCTAAGTCCAACTTTAATAATAGTCAGCTGGGCGCAGTGGCTCACGCCTGTAATCCCAGCACTTTGGGAGGCTGAGATGTGTGGATTACCTGAGGTCAGGAGTTGGAGACCAGCCTGACCAAAATGGAGAAACCCCATCTCCACTAAAAATACAAAATTAGCCGGGCTTGGTGGCACATGCCTGTAATCCCAGCTACTCTGGAGGTTGAGGCAGGAGAATCACTTGAACCCAGGAGGCGGAGGTTGCGGTGAGCTGAGATTGTGCCATTGCACTCCAGCCTGGGCAACAAGAGCAAAACTCCATCTTAAAAAAAGAAAATAATGGTCAATATTTTTACATTTTAATTTTGAATAGGTAATACATTCATACGGTTCGGAAATCTAAACTTACATAAAAAGTAATATATTAAAAAGTCTTATTCCCATCTCCCTGCCCCAGCCTACTCTTCTGGTTGAAGAGCCAGGTTCCCCTGCCTCAGTAGTTGTTGACTGGCTTGGGTCATGAGCTCTAGGCCCCACCTCCCTGCTTAGGTGACACTGTGGTCAGACGGGAGGACATACAGAGCCCACCCTGACTTGGCATTTGGCCCTGAGACACTAGCCTCAGCCTCTATCTAGTTCTTCCTATGTGGCCCTGGGTCCAGGACCTCCCTCCCAGCTCCTCTCCCTAAATCATGGGGAAACGGAAGCCTCCCTCAGCTAGCCTGACTGAAAGCTTCCTGGGATGTGCCACAAACAGAGCAGCTCCCAGTGCCTCAGGCTGCATGCCCTGATCCTGTTCTCACCCCATTTCCTAACAGGTGACCACTTTGGTTAGTTCGCATGGATCTTTCTATATCCTTCTAGTATTTTTTTTTTTAATTGAGACAGAGTCTCGCTGTGTTGCCCAGGCTGCAGTGCAGTGGTGCGATCTTGGCTCACTGCAACCTCCGTCTCTCAGGTTCAAGTGATCCTCCTGCCTCAGCTCCCGCAGTAGCTGGCACATGCCACCATGCCCGCTAATTTTTGTATTTTTAGTAGAAACAGGGTTTCTCCATGTTGGCCAGGCTGGTCTCGAACTCCTGACCTCAGGTGATCCACCTACCTCGGCCTCCCAAAGTGCTGGGATTACAGGCGTGGGCCACAGCGCCAGGCCCTTCTAGTATTTCTCTATGGTAATCAACATCTATTGAGCACTTTCTTCCAAGGAATGTGCCGATATATGTAATGTTCTTTTCCATCAGTTATCTCATTTAACCCTCACAACAACCCTATAGGGTTAAGTACTGTTGTTACACCCCATTTTACAGAAGCAGAAACTGAAGCCCAGAGGGGTGAAGGAACTTGCCCAAGCTCAGTTAGTAAGTTAAGGCGTCTCTCTCCAAAGCGAGTCTTCTTAACACGGGGGCAGACACAAGACAGCGGGGGCTCTTCAAGCGTTCTGGGCTGTTTGGGCGCCTGCGTTTTATTGCAGGCACTACCTGACTTGGATCGGTGGCTTCCCTTCTCGGTGTAATAGACAAATCGGACTCCGTCCCCTCCTAAATCCCGGTGTGGAGGACCCCAGCACTAATGACTGCCCCACCCTCTCTGCTCTCTCCCCAGGACCGCCGGGAGAGCCTGCCCACCTCCCCTCCCTGGACGCCGGGCGCGTCCCGGCCCCCCAGCAGCCTAGACGGCTGGGTAAGCCCGGGGCCGTGGGAGCCAAGCCGCGGGAGCAGCATGAGCAGCCCCCCGCCGCTGCCGCCGCCCCCGCCCATGTCTCCCTCGTGGAGCGAGCGCTCTGTGTCCCCGCTGCGACCGGAGACCGAGGCGCGGCCCCCCAGCCGCCAGCTGCAGGCGCTTCTGGCGCGAAACATCATCAACGCGGCCCGGCGCAAGAGCGCCTCCCCGCGGTCGGCGGGCGCCGAGAACCTGCGGCCCTTCTCCCCGCCAAGGGCACCGCCGCCGCCGCCCCCACGCATGCGCTCGCCACAGCCCGCCCGCCCCGGCTCGGCTGCTGTGCCGGGGGCAGCCTTCGCGCCCATCCCGCGGAGCCCGCTTCCCGCTGGGCCGTCGTCCTGCACCAGTCCCCGGAGCCCGCTGCCCGCGCCTCCCAGGCCCTTCCTCTACCGCCGCTCGCCCACGGACTCCGACGTGTCCCTCGACTCCGAGGACTCCGGGGCTAAGTCTCCCGGCATCCTCGGCTACAATATCTGTCCCCGCGGGTGGAACGGCAGCCTTAGGCTGAAGCGTGGCAGCCTCCCCGCCGAGGCCTCCTGCACCACCTAGAGCCCCACCCCCGGCCCCACCCCGGGAGGACAGAGCCAGAAGAAGGCTCATCAGACCTGGGGGACCCAAAGGGTCTGGCCTCTTTGGGCAGCCCCAGAGCTGAGTGGTCAGCAGAGGAGAGCTCTGGGTTTGGGGATGGGTTAGGGACGCAAGCTTGAGTTCTAGCCCTTGCTGTCATTCAGCTGTTGTGTGACCCTGGGTAAGACCCTTCCTCGTTTGACCCTCAGCTTTCCCATCTGTTTAATGGTGGCTTTCGCCAAGACAATCCACAAACGTCAAAATTCCCCTTCCCATCAATACACACATACACACACTCTCTCTCTCTCTCTCTCTCACACACACACACACACACACACATACACGTTAGTGCCTTGGATGAAGCAGGGCAGTGTGTATATGGACCCCTGGACTTGCTGCCTTCGGGATTCCATACTCCTCCCTCCCCTCCTGGCTCTGCTCTCTGGAGTCTGGCAAGTACAGTGTGTTAGGAAGATCCTAGGCCTATGTCCCATGTCCAGGCACTGGCCTGACCATCCGGCTCCCTGGCACCAAGTCCCAGGCAGGAGCAGCTGTTTTCCATCCCTTCCCAGACAAGCACTATTTTTATCACAATGACCTTTAGAGAGGTCTCCCAGGCCAGCTCAAGGTGTTCCACTATACCCTCTGGAGAGAAGAGGCAGGAAAATTCTCCCTGGGTCCCTCTCATGCTACTTTCTCCACCCCGGTTCAGACTGTCCAGGACATCTTATCTGCAGCCACAAGAGAACTATAAGGCAGTGATTTCCCTTAGGCCCAGGACTTGGGCCTCCAGCTCATCTGTTCCTTCTGGGCCCATTCATGGCAGGTTCTGGGCTCAAAGCTGAACAGGGGAGAGAAGAGATACAGAGCTACCATGTGGCTTTACCTGATTGCCCTCAGTTTGGGGTTGCTTATTGGGAAAGAGAGAGACAAAGAGTTACTTGTTACGGGAAATATGAAAAGCATGGCCAGGATGCATAGAGGAGATTCTAGCAGGGGACAGAATTGGCTCAGATGACCCCTGAGGTCTCTTCCAGTCTTGAAATGCATTCCATGGTATTAGGAAGCGGGGGGTGGGTGCTGGTGGTGGGCTAGTCGGGCTTGAATTTAGGGGCCGATGAGCTTGGGTACATGAGCAGGCTGTTAAGTTAGGGTCTGCCTGTATTTCTGGCCCCCTTGGAAATGTCCCTTCTTCAGTGTCAGACCTCAGTCCCAGCGTCCGTATCGTGCCCAGAAAAGTAGACATTATCCTGCCGCATCCCTTCCCCAGTGCGCTCTGACCTAGCTGGTGCCTGGCGTCCAGTGACCTGGGGGAGCCTGGCTGTAGGCCCTCTCTGATTCCCTAAAACTTGGTGGCTCTGATTCCAGTCCCCAGGTGGGACTCAGGGAGGAATATGGCTGAGTTCTGTAGTTTCCAGAGTTGGCTGGTAGAGCCTTCTAGAGGTTCAGAATATTAGCTTCAGGATCAGCTGAGGGGATGGAATTGGCTGAGGATCAAATGTATGTAGGTGAAAGGATAGCAGGATGTTGCTAAAGGTGATGGAGAGTATGGGTTTAGGACTTACCCGTCAGGGTGGTGTTAGATCTAGAACCCCCAAGTGAGGCTGGAGAGAGTTAAGGTCAGTATGAAAGATAGGGTTGGGACGGGGTGCTTTGGAATGAAAGTGTGACCTTAGAGTGCTCCTTGGGCCTCAGGAATGAGGACACAGCTCCTGGTGGTGTGAAGATGAGAAGGGGCTCTTACTCAGTTAATGATGAGCGACTATATTTACCAAAGCCCCCACCTGCTGCTGGGTCCCTTGTAGTGCAGGAGATTGGGGCTAAGGGCCCCTCCCAGAGAAGGGACACCATCAGGCCTCTGGCTGAGGCAGTTGCATAGAGGATCCACTTCTACCTGCATTTCCCAAAGGACTAGCAGGAGGCAGCCTTGAGAAACCTGCAGTTCCCAAGCCAGCCCCTGGCTGTTCTCTCATTGTCACTGCCTTCTCCCCAACCTCTCCTCTAACCCACTAGAGCTTGCCTGTGTCCTGCCTCTTGCCTCTTGTAGAATTCAGCTCTGGCCCTCAATAAATGCTTCCTGCATTCTTCTGCCTCCTGTGTCATTTTCAGCTGTGTCTGATGCCCTTCCCTTCTCCCCAAGCAGGGAGCAGTCCATGGGACTCTGGGTGGCTGGGAATATTTGAGACACATGGGATGGGAGCTTGGGAAGAAGCAGCCATGGGGAGAGATGGGAACAGCAGACAACTTGAGGCCATAGAAGTTCCTGGGTTGAAGTCCTGGTCCTGTCATGGACGAGCAAGGTGACCCTGGGTGAGCGCACTCCTTCTCCAGGCCTCAGTTTCCCCATCCATATAAAGGGGAGAGTTGGTCTAGGTAATGTCTCAGGCGGTACTGTCCAGGCTCTGACCACAGAGCACTGTCACCAGAGTGGGCAGGGCCAAGCTGGGTCAGGGCTCTGTGCTCTGGGGCTGTTTCCTCATGGCAGGTGGGGGTGCCAGGGCAGGAAAGGAGCCACTGTAAGAGGTCCCATCTGAGCCAGGAAGCCCCAGTTAAGCAAGGACTCGGGCCATGAGGTATCCTCTCCTGACAGGAGCGTCCTTTGGTCAGAGAAGGGGATTGTGGTCCTGTTCCCAGGTGAGACTAAGCTTGCCCTAGGAACACATCTCTTCCTCTCTAGAAGCTCAGGCCCACCGAGGGCTGGGAAGCTAAGGTCAGGGCGGTGGACAGCAGAACCCAGGCTTCTGATTTGAGAGGGTGTCAGAAATACGCCCCAGGATAGTCTGCCAGCATACAGACACAGGTGCTCCCCACCCTGTGCCCAGCCCATCCTTGCTAGGCCCACCATTCCCCAGGAGTGGTGTATGCCTTGAACCCAATCTTTATCTTCGGCTGGGGCCCCACCGCAGCACGGTGTCCCACTGCCTACTGGTGATCTCATCCCAGTCCCCTGACACCTCAAACAAAGTTCATCCCAAACTGACCTCAGTGTCTACCCCTACCCCACCTGCTCCTCCTCTTCCAGTCACCCAAGCATGAAACAGGGGAGTGGGACTCCCTTTCCTCACCTCCCACATCCAGTTCCTCACCAAGACCTGAGAGTTCTTCAAATACCCTTCAACTCCCTCTCCTCTCCATCCCCTTGTCACTGCTCTGATCCAGCCACCCCTGGTGACAGATCCTCGTGCCTCCAGTCTGGCCCCCTCCAACCCATTTCCCACAGGGCAGCAAAGATATCTTTGGAAAATGCCAATCTGATCACTCCATTTCACCACTTTGATCTCGTCAGCGACCCTTTATAAACACAGTTTCCTTTTGAAAGCCTGCTGGGATCTGGCCCCTGCCCCCACTGTCTGGGCTAATCTCTCAGCACTGCCCTCAGCAGTGGCTCTATTTGCCAACCCCCTACCATCTTTATAAGTGACATGTCCACTGCCTGCCATGCCCCTTCTCTGCCCAGTGAACTCCCACTCATCCTTCAAGTCCCAACTCCAGTGTGTCCTCCTCTGGGAAGCCTTCTCACCCCCTACCCCAGACTGAGCTGGTAACTCCCTCCCCTGGGCTCTCCTAGAGCCTTCCCCAAAGCTTGTTTACCCGTCTGAATCTGACCTGGCTGAGCTCCTTGAAGACAGAGCCCTGCCTTATTTATTTTCAGTCCTTAGAGAGAGGCTCAGGGAATGTGAGAAGGTAGAGGGAGGGAGGGAGGAAGGGAGAAAAGAAGGCAGGCAGGAAGGAGACAGAAGAAGAAAGGCAGGAGAGAAAAAAGGAAGGAAGAAAAGGATAAGTCAAGCGAAGATATTGAGGAGCAATTCATTCATCCATCCATTTATCTATCCATCCATTCAGTCACCTGGCAAATATCTACTGAGTTCCTGTCAGGCACCATTCTTGGCACTAAGGATTTAACAGTTAACAAGCGGAAGCTACCAGCAGCTGACCCTCAACATTTCCAGGTGACTTTGGTGCATGCATATGTGAGCGTGTGTGTACACGTGGGTGCAAGCCCTCTGTCGGCAAAGGCCTGTTGCCAGGGCACCTGTCTTCCCTAGGGTCTGGTGCTTTTAGCATCTGGCTCCAGCTCCTATTGCAGCCCGAAATAAGGCTGTGACCCAAGGCAAGGCAGGAATGATTCTCATCAGCTGAAGCCAGAGCTGGCTGCAGGGGAAAACCCTGCTCGCTGCCTACTGACTGCTGACCGCTGACTGCCTACAGGGACACCACGCAACTCTCAGCTTCCCGACAGAGGTGTTAATCTTGGGGGTCTAAGATTCCCTCCTGCCCACTGTGGTCCCACTCTCTCAGGTACCAGCATCCTAGGGGAGCTTGGGGAACTCGGGGGAGTGGGCAGAGAAGATGAGCCAATCCCCAGAGCTCCTTCTCCAGGAGAGGAAGGGCCCTGCAGTAGATCTAGGGAGTTTGGAACCCCATGAAAGCCTAGATCCTGGTTTGGGAGGAGAGGAACTCTAAGCTCTAGGTTACCCTGCATTAAATGGGGAGGGTGTGGCTAGGATTAAAGGTGGGGAATAGGTAATGGCTCTGCTCAGGACTTCGGGATTTTTACGCAGTAGAGGGAAGCAGCTTCTCTCTCTGTAAAATGAGAGACCCTTCCCAGCGTCTGTGAATTTCTGTAAAGGGAGTGTTAATCAAGAAACAGATCTGTGGACTGTGGAATCCTAAACGGTCATGATCGAGGCATTCTCAGTCATCCCATGACCCTCATCCCAAATGCATGTAGACACACTCATGTTTACATACAGTTTTAGGGGGATTGTGAACACCCTAAAGCCCATCCATGTATCTCCGTGATTTAGCCTGGCCCCCTAATGTTACAGAAGGGGGAACTGAGATGCAGAGCTGCAGAGCTACTTGTTTGCAGTTACAGAGAAAGTCAGGGACACCCACTAGACTCCAGTTGCACAACGAGTGCCCACAGACCGAGGGCCCCTTGTGGGTGCTGGGGATACAGATGAAGGCAGATTGTTTTCTAAAGGAAGGAGTATAGAGAAACCCGGAGGCAAAGGAGAAGGGTACCAGGCTGGGTGGTCAGTCAAGGAGCTCAAGGGCTCTGCCTCTTCTCCAGAGAGCAAGTTAAGGGCTCTGGACCTCATTTTATTTGCAGATCTCTTCCAAGATTCCTTGAAAGTTACATGAGATACAAATCGCGGGATGGAACAGGAGGGAGAGAAGGGATGAGGGAGAAGAGAACACCACAGAAGTTAGCCCAGTAATGGGGAGATGGGGAAGATGGGGGATGGTTCTCTCTGCTTGGTTAGACCAGCCTGTGCCCTCAAGCCTCAGGGCCAAGTGCCAGGGATGAGAGGGGCACACTAGCCTCACAGACCCCATTGTAGCCCCAGCCTAGCCCATGCTCCCTCTCCCCTAACTTAAACCTCCAACCTCTTTCAGTCTTGAAATAGGAATGTCCTGGGTCAACAGATGACAGTAGTCTGAGACCTTTGCCTGCCCCACCCGGATGCCCCTGGCACCTACCCTCCCTCTGATCAGGATGCCTGAGCTGGAAAAGCCGCTAGAAACCACCCCTGAAGAGACAGTGCTTCCCTAGCAACATGAAAATAGATTTGTGCAAACTTGAGCACCTTCCTCTCGTTCCCTGGGCCCCAGTCTCCTCTGCACAGAGACCCTGAAGGCCCTTCCAGCTCAGATATCCCTTGCTTGTGATTTTGGGCTGGTCTAAAGCTGTTCAGGACCGGGGCAGGGTGAACCAGGGACTGGAAGGAGGTCTGGGGAGAAATGGAGGCAGCCTGGTCCATTTATGGGGGTCTCTCCTCCACAGGATGATCCCCAAGGAGCAGAAGGGGCCAGTGATGGCTGCCATGGGGAACTTCACTGAACCAGGTAAGGTGATTCTAGCCTCGTGCCTTCCTCAGACTCCATCTTTTCCTCGCTCCCAGGCTGCACTCACCCTGGCCTGCTGGCCCCAGGCCTGAGCAGACAGGTGTGAGCTCCAGGCCAGCCCTGAGGGAGTGCCCGTGGAATCTGCCGCCTCCGCTGAGAAGCTTCCTGAGGCTCCAGGAGGGGTCTTGCCCATCTGTCCACAGACCCAGGAGCTGAGGCTCAGTGTCCCAGGCTGGGCGTTGGCTCTAAAATGACCCTGGCCCTGGCCTTATCTAAGGCCTCACCTCGGCCCCAAATTAAGCTCTCAAGACTCTGGTCCCAGTTCCAGCTCTACCTGTGGCTGCAAGCTCTGCACATATTTGCCCTTGCCTATTGCTCCTTGGGGTTCACCGAGGCCTCTGGATGGCCCAGGATGGCTGGGCCCCATGGCTAAGACAGGGGAGTGGAGAGCATGGAGCAGGGTGGGAAGAGCAGGCCGCCCATTTGGATATAAAACTTTTTACTTAAAAGCTGATTTATCCAATGAGTAAATCATTTTTATCATTTCATTTGAAAAGTTTAAATTCATTTTTATCAATTTTATAAGACCTCTTCAGGAATTCTTGATATAATTTTGGAATCTGTGTATTTGGTCTACTTTACAGGATTTCAGGTATTTTAAAAATTAATTTAGGGGCTGGACACAGAGGCTGATGCCTGTAATCCCAGCACTTTGGGAGGCTGAGGTAGAAGGATTGCTTGAGCCCAGGAGTTTGAGACCAGCCTGGGCAACATGGTGAGACTCCATCTCACACACACACACACAAAATTAGCCAGGCATGGTGGCACATGCCTGTGGTCCCAGCTGCTTAGGAGGCTGACACAGGAGGATCATTTGAGCCTAGGAGTTGGAGGCTATAGTGAGCTATGGTTGTGCCACTGCACTCCAGCCTGGGTGACAGAGTGAGACTCTGTCTCTAAAAAAAAAAAAAAAAAAATCACCTAAGTAAGAGCTCTCCAGCTTTATTGTGAATCATAAAGATTTGATGTTGGTTAGGCATACAGAAGCCCAGCATCTACTCCTGAGGATTCTGACTCAGGGGACCTGAGGTAGGACCTGTGCATTTGCCTTCAGCGTGCTAAGGAGTCAATCATATTTCATGACTTTATATGTGGCATCCTTTTAACCTATTTTGTGTATTCTTGCCTCCTTTTGTTGATGTCCAGTTTCTTCTCCCACCCCGATTTTGTAGCTAAAATATGCACATTCTATGCGTATTGACGCTCTAACTAGAAGGGTCAGGCAAGGCATTCTCTTTTCTCTTGGGGAGTTAATTACAGACCCCCAAATATGGAGACACATCATTGATGCAAGATTTGAAATATATAACTTGGCCGGGCGCGGTGGCTCAAGCCTGTAATCCCAGCACTTTGGGAGGCCGAGACGGGCGGATCACGAGGTCAGGAGATCGAGACCATCCTGGCTAACCCGGTGAAACCCCGTCTCTACTAAAAAATACAAAAATCTAGCCGGGCGTGGTGGCGGCGCCTGTAGTCCCAGCTACTCGGGAGGCTGAGGCAGGAGAATGGCGTGAACCCCGGAGGCGGAGCTTGCAGTGAGCTGAGATCCGGCCACTGCACTCCAGCCTGGGCGACAGAGCGAAACTCCGCCTCAAAAAAAAAAAAAAAAAAAAAAAAAGAAATATATAACTTGTTGATTATTGCTGAGGTACTGACTAAAGACAATTTTGAAACAAAAGAAAAGTAGGAAGAAAAAATAAATCTTATAATCTCACCACCTGAAGACAGTCACTGTAAAGTAAAAGTTATACAAATGTTTACCACCATTGCATGTTTACTAGGTGGCAGATACTTTGCTAAGAGGAAAGTAACCTTTATGCTTTGTGTCATTTCATCCCCACCACAACTCTGTAAGTTAGATATTATCCTCATTTTGGGAATGAGAATATTGTGGCTGGGAAGAGCAGGTGGTCACATCTGGTAGGTGGTAAAGCTGCAATTTGACTCCAGGTCTCTGTCTCCAGAGCTATTTCCTTATTATATGGTTACAATGATAATACATCACTTTTGAAAAAATATCCATTTGCCATTGACTTGGCATACATTAAAAACTTTTGTTTCATTCAGACAAAACAGACATGAACGGCTTTGAAAGTGAAAGTTCATCATAATGGAACCGTCTGGAGATAACCACTGTTAACATATTTATGTAAATTCTTCTTCTGTTCATATATGAATGTCTTTATATAAACATACATACACATGGGCTAAATACTATATGCTATGTTCTTCGGCTCTTTTTTTTTTTTCCATTTAGCAGCATTCCATCCTAGTATGATTTATCTCACGCCTTCCTTCCCCGTGCTTACCATCATTCCACTGTTTGCACACGCCATGTGTATTTAAACATCCCCTGATGGTGGTCGTGAGGATAGTCTGGGGTGAGATCCTTCAGGGCAGAACCAGAGGAGCCTTATGCAAGTAACCTATTGAGAGAGTGCTCTCGGGAGAGAAGGAGGAATGCAGCCTAGGGTGGGGTATTGCTGAGCGAGGGTGTGGGCTCAGCGGCTGTCCAGGTTCAGTGTGAGCCTGTGGGGAGCTCCCGAGCATGAATTCCTCTGCAAAATTCATCCCACCTGAGGCAAGGGCACTGTGGCAGCATCCATTCCACTGGCAGTTCTTTGTAGAAGGTGGCAGTTTGAACTATTAGCTGCTAATAAGGGGCATCTGGGCAGCATCCACCAGAAGACTGAGTCCCAGTTTTCACAATTTTAAACCCCTGCAATAAACATTCTTATACATATATCTTTGGACATATTTATTCAAATTTTCCCCTGAGAATAAATTCCTAGAAATAGAATTACTCAGTCAAATAGGTTTTATCTTTTTTTATTTTTTAATAGAGACAAGGTCTTGCTATATTGCCCAGGCTGGTCTCGAACTCCTGGGCCCAAGCAATCCCCCCACCTTGGCCTCTGCAAGTGCTGGGATTATAGTTGTGAGCCACTGCAGCTGTTCTTTTTTTTTTTAATTGAGTTCGGCTGGGGGAGGTGGCTCACGCCTGTAATCCCAGCACTTTGAGAGATGGAGACAAGCAGATCACCTGAGGCTGGGAGCTTGAGACCAGCCTGACCAACGTGGAGAAACCCTATCTCTATTAAAAATACAAAATCAGCCAGGTGTGGTGGCCATGCCTGTAATCCCAGTTACTCAGGAGGCTGAGGCAGGAGAATCACTTAAACCTGGGGGGCGGAGGTTGCAGTGAGCCGAGATCGCACCATTGCACTCCAGCCTGGGCAACAAGAATGAAACTCCATCTTAAAAAAAAAAAAAGAGAGAGAACAATATTGAGCTCAGCTCATCTGTACAGTATTTGAGAATATGATGCTGAGGGTGCTTTATTATGTATTTAGGTATAACTATTCTTTCGTATTTTTAAGTAGGCAGTACACTTTCTCATTAAAAACAGTAACAACAAAACAGTGTAAACAATTTCTAACCCTCCTCCTTTATATGTCCCATGGTCACTGCTATGGTGACATGTCTCCTTGTAGATGTTTGCTATGGCGACATGTCTCCTTGGCATGTGTCCTTGCAGATTTTTCAATGCATGCAAAAACACATACTTATTTTTTAATATATAAATGGGGGCCGGGCATGGTGGCTCACACCTGTAATCCCAACACTTTGGGAGGCCGAGGCGGGCAGATCACATGAGGTCAGGAGTTTGGGACCAGCCTAGCCAACATGGTGAAACCCCATTCTTACTAAAAATACAAACATTAGCCAGGCATGGTGGCTCATACCTGTAGTCCCAGTTACTTGGGAGTTTGAGGCAGGAGAATCACCAGAACCCAAGAGGCAGAGGTTGCAGTGAGCTGAGATTGCACCACTGCACTCCAGCCTGGGCAACAGAGCAAGACTCTGTCTCAAAAAACAAAAACAAAAACAAAATATATATACATACACACACACACACATATATATATAATATTTATATAATATATAATACAAATGGGATCTTAAAATACCTATTCTTCTGAATCTTACTTTCCCTGCAGTTGGAGGGGAATTAATTTAATTTATACTGGATTTCTTTTTTTATTTTTTTTTGAGACAGAGTCTTGCTCTGTCACCCAGACTGGAGCACAGTGACATGATCTCAGCTCACTGCAACCTTCACCTCCAGCTTCAAGTGATTCTTGTGCCTCAGCCTCCCAAGTAGCTGAATTATAGGCACACGCCACCATGCCCAGCTAATTTTTGTATTTTTCATAGAGACGGGGTTTTGCCATGTTGGCCAGGTTGGTCTCGAACTCCTGACCTCAGGTGATCCACCTGCCTCCACCTCCCAAAGTGCTGGGATTACAGGTGTGAGCCACTGCACCCAGCCTATAAGTGGGTTTCTTTCTGTTCTTAGCACATAGAAAGTGCCCTTTATGTCTTTGTTGAAAGAATGAAAAAAAAAAATTAGTGTCCTTTTTAGACAGCTATTCAGGATTCCATTGACTGGCATGAATCACAGCACCCAAGTGACCCCCAGTGCTGCCTGGTAGCCATGTCCATCTCCCTAGTTCATTCACTCTCCCATGCTACTCTCTTAATGACTTTGGCACCACTTCTCCTCAAACCTTCAATACCTCCTTGCACAACTTCATTATCAGCTAAAGACCTTGTTTCTTATTCCACTAAGAAAAATAGAGTAACCAGAAGAGAACATCTGCAAGCATCCTCTGTCACATCTGTCTACTTGCTTGCATCTGCGCCCGTGTTTGTGGTTTTCCTTTCTGATATGGTGGATGAACTTTTCTCACACCTGCCTGGTGCCAACTCCTCTAGCTGGGCTCTGGAAACGCAGCTCTCCTGTCACTCCTGCTCAAGGACATTCCTGCAGCAATTCTCCCCTCTCTCTACTGCATTGTTCAAATGTTCCCATCAGTTAACGCACATGCTGTTATTCTTCATCTTTACAAACAAACAAACAAACAAACAAACCCCTCTTGATCCCATAGCTGTCTGTAGCCAGGATCCTTTAAAGCCCAACTCTTCCAAGCAGTTGCCTATATTTTTCTTACCAATCCTCTCTTTCTCTCTTTTTGACATTTTATTAGTCAATTTCCAAACACACATACAAGTATGGAGTACATGGTCCCTCCTTCATTCCTAAATTTCAAAGCTAATGCCAAAAAGCATGTCATTTCACCCTGCAAATACTTCAGAATGCATCAAAATAATAAAAGGATGTTTCCTTACATGCCACAAAGATATTAGCACACTGAACAAAATCAGCACTAATGATTTAATACCATTTAATAAGCGGTCTGTATTTAACCTTCTTCAGTTTTCTGGTTTGTTTTCATCAGCATCCAAACAAGGGCCACAGTTTTTATTTGGTTGCTATGGCTTCTAAATCTCCTTTAATCTGAAGCAAGCCCTCTGCCCCTTTTTTCCATGCCACTCACTTGTGTGAAAAACCAGGCCAGTTGTCCTGTAGAATGTCCTGCGTCCTGGATTTGGCTTATCGTTTCCTCATGGTGTGGTTAAACTTGTTCCTCTGTCCATTTTCTCTTGAACCCTCTCCAGTTAGGCTTTCACACCCAAACACTCCACAGAAACTGCTTTGGTGAAAATTACCAATGACCTTGTGTTACTATATATAATAGTCGATTTTCAGCTCTCATCTTCCTTGACACATCAGCAGCATTTGGCTCTGTTAGTCTCTCTATCATACCTGAAACGCTTTCATCATTTATTTCCAAGATGCCATCCTCTTTAGTTTCGTCCTATGTTGTGGGCTGCTCTTGCCCAGGCTCCTGGCTTAGTTCATCCTCACCGCCTCACTGTAAATGTTGGAGGCCCCAGGCTCCGTCTCTGGTCCTCTTTACCTATTCTCATTTCTTTGTGATCTCATCCAGCCTCTCAGCTTAAAGTACCGTTTATGGAGCTGGAATATGAACATATGTGTATCCGATTTTAGAGATGGACCAGGCAGGCCATGCTGCCCACACAGGGCTCTCACCTGCGAAGGTCCTCACCATTCTCTCCCCTCTGTTCTGCAAAAGGCTTCCTTTGTTGGCCAAATGTGAAAGTTTGCATTTGGCTAGTGGGAAAAGCACAAACTGCTAAGAACAGTCATCACCCTGAAAATCCTCTAAATAGCTATAAAGAGTAGTTCCAACTATGAGAAAAGAAATAAATGTAATGTTCTTCATTGAAAAACAACAACAAATACCAGTAATACCAGTAAAAGCTCATGATGCTCAAAATTTCACCTTCAGGTCAGTTTTCTCCAGTTTCACACATCTATCTCCCTCCTCAGCACCACCACTTAGATGCCTACAAGTTTCCTCAAATTTAAGATGCCCAGTTTTGGAGATAATTAGCAGAGTTTGGATATGGACTAGATATTAGGTAGAACAAAAATGTGTTCACTTGGAAAGCTGGAGATCTTTAAGTGATAAAAAACAATTTATAGGCTGGGCGCGGTGGCTCACGCCTGTAATCCCAGCACTTAGGGAGGCCGAGGCTGGCGGATCACGAGGTCACGAGTTCGAGACCAGCCTGGTCAACATGGTGAAACCCCATCTCTATTAAAAATACAAAAGTTAGCCAGGAGTGGCGGTGCGTGCCTGTAATCCAGCTACTTCAGGAGGCTAAGGCAGGAGAACTGCTTGAACCTGGGAGGCAGAGGTTGCAGTGAGTCGAGATTGTGCCATTGCACTCTAGCCTGGGCAACAGAATGAGACTCCATCTCAAAAAACAAAGCAAAAAAAAAGTTACAAAACATGTATGCTATGATTTTGTTTTGGTTAAAACCTCGTACGAATATAGTCATTGAAAAAGATATGAAAGGACATACACTAAGGTGTTAATAGTGGCAGTCTCTGGGCGATAGATAATGGTATTTTTCTCTTTTTTGTCTGATATCTGTATTTTCCAACTTTCCTCAGGGCCCATATAGTCTTGTTGTTGTTGTTGTTGTTTTTGTTGTTGATGGAGAATCACTCTGTTACCCAGGCTGGAGTGCAGCAATGCAATCTCAGCTCACTGCAACCTCCATCTCCTGGGTTCAAGTGATTCTCCTGCCTCAGCCTCTGGAGTGGCTGGGATTACAGGCACGTGCCACCCATGCCCAGCTAATTTTTCTACTTTTAGTGGAGGTGGGGTTTCGCCATGTTGGCCAGGCTGGTCTCGAATCCTTGACCTCAGGTGATGTGCCTGCCTCGGCTTCCCAAAGTGCTGGGATTACAGGCATGAGCCACCGCGCCCAGCCCATATATGCTTTTTTATAATAATAAAAGGTTATTTTAAAGTTAAGAGAATACATGTCTAAAACTGAACTCCTGATCTTTCCCAGAACTTTCTCCTCCCTTTGCCTTCCCCATCTCAATGAGCTGCTGCTCTATCCTTCTAGTGGCTCAGGCCAGAAGCCTTGCGGTCATCCTCAACCCCTCTCTCGATTATTGACCATACCCACGGCTTACCTTTAAAACACAGCTAGAATCTGACCATTTCTCACTACCTCCACCATTATGGGCAAAGACCTGCGCGGGGAATTCATGCAATAAATACAAATGGCCAAAGAACTTCTGAAACAGTGCTAAACTTCACTGAGCAACAAACACATGCAAATTAAACTCTAAGGTGCCATTTTTGCCCATCAGGTGGGCAAAGATTCCAAAGAATCATGACACCTGGTGTCAGCAAGCTTGGGGAGAAACAGGCATTCTTACAGCATGCCATGCTGAGGAGGTGCCTTGAGAGGTGGGGTCTGGAGTGTATGGGGGATGGGGTGGTGAGAGCCCGCTCTGGCCTTTCCTGGCAGTCCCTACGCTGGACCTGGGCAAGAAGTTGAGCGTGCCCCAGGACCTGATGATGGAGGAGCTGTCACTACGCAACAACAGAGGGTCCCTCCTCTTCCAGAAGAGGCAGCGCCGTGTGCAGAAGTTCACTTTCGAGTTAGCAGCCAGCCAGCGGGCGGTGAGTAAGCCACCATTGTGCTCATGGGGAAACTGAGGACGACAGAGAGCCAGTGGTTAGCCTAAAGCCAAATGGTAAGCCAGGCTGAAGACTGTGATGTTCCCATCAGATGAAGCTCCTGCCTTTCTGTGTAATCCTTGAGAAGTATTATCTTTTTAGGCATCTCACCCTGGCTACAGAACAAAGTGAACCAAGTAGATTAAGAGGGTTGAGGATAAGCCGTTGAGTGAAGGTAGTCTGCCTCCTACAAAAAAAAAAAAAAGAAAAAAAACTGCGAAGACAGGCATGCATTCCAGGCTAAATTTGCAGCAGGCAGGATCTAGTTTAGACTTGGGCCTGATCTAAGGTGGAAAATGTAGAATGCCTTTTTTTCTTCCTCCCACTGGAGGAAGGAAAGGCCGTGGAATAACCTGCTGGTGGAGAAGAAAGGCAAGAAGGGTTCTTCCCTTGACTTCAGAAAGGCAGCAGGTAGTTCCAGATACTTCTAAGGAAGCCAGGGCTATTCCATCCACCCTCCACTTAATTTCTGGGCCAGACAGGAGGCAACTGAGAGGGAGTGATGTGGCAGAAAAATAAAGATGACAAAACACCCGCCCTTGCTATGTGCCTAAGTCAGTGCTAGCTAAGCACTTTGCAGGTGTCTCATTTAATGCTCATAGATTCTTCTGAGGAAGAGACCTTCATCACCATCATCCTCATTCTATAGAGAAGGACATTGAGGCTCAGGGAAACTAAGTATCTTGCCCAGACTCAGCATTACAATAGCAATTAACATATATCGAGTATTTCTCGGTCCCAGGCACCGGGTTTAGCGCTGTAAACTAGTAACTCATCCCTGTTCCCGATGATGGGCGTTAGGATTCTTGCCTTTCCCTTTTTTCTTCTTTTTTTTTTTTTTGGTGGAGGGAAAACCCTGGTCCCCTGCCCCGCTGAGCCTCTCCGCGGTTTATTCTACCCCCTCGCTCCCAGATGCTGGCCGGAAGCGCCAAGAGGAAGGTGACTGGAACAGCGGAGTCGGGGACGGTGAGCGTGGAGCGGAGCTCCCTGGAAGGGAAGCTGGGGGAAGGGGAAGGCGGCTGGGGGCGGGAGGTCGTCAGTGGCCTCTGAGAGCCCGCCCCTGTGCCCAGGTTGCCAATGCCAATGGCCCCGAGGGGCAGAACTACCGCTCGGAGCTCCACATCTTCCGGGCCTCACCCGGGGCCTCACTCGGGGGTCCTGAGGGCGCCCACTCTGCAGCTGCCCCAGCTGGGTGCGTCCCCAGCCCCAGCGCCTTGGCGCCAGGTGAGTGGCCTCCTCGGGTCCTGGGACCAGGGCTTGGGGGCCTGAAGCATGGGTGTGCTTCCCATGGGGCAGGACGAGCACCCAGAAAGCTAGTCCACCCCCTTCCCCAACACACACGCCGCCGCGCCCCAGGTCACACAGCGAGTCAGCCAAGGCCAAGACTGCAACCCGCGCCGCGAACTCGTGGCTTCCTCACTGCAGTCCTCCGTGTTTCCTGGGACGGGAAGGGGTCTCCTGTGCTGGAGCAACTGTGGCATCCTGTTCCCCCACTCCTCTCCCCTAACTCGGATCTTCCCTCTTCCAACCGCATCCGCGGAATGGGGGTGGGGCGAGGTGGGGCTGGGGGCTGAGGGTGGAAGAACCGAGGCGCCCCCTTCCCCTCCGCCCCTAGGCTATGCGGAGCCGCTGAAGGGCGTCCCGCCAGAGAAGTTCAACCACACCGCCATCCCCAAGGGCTACCGCTGCCCCTGGCAGGAGTTCGTCAGCTACCGGGACTACCAGAGCGATGGCCGAAGTCACACCCCCAGCCCCAACGACTACCGAAATTTCAACAAGTAAGGTGGGGCGGGCAGCCCGGGGACAGACCGGGAGGGGCGGGAAGCCAGTCAGAGCCACAGCGGGAGCCTGCGTTTCCTGAGCACTTTCTGCAGGCCAGGCTCTGTCCCCAGCGCTTTCTACTCTTTGAGTTCTGGCTGGAACAGCGCCTCCGCACCTAGTAGGTGCTCAGTAAACGTGGGAGAAATGAAGAGTGAAGGTGCCGCACATCTTGGATCCTCTCCAGGACATGGTGGGCGGGTGCTATGAGTTTTCCTGTTCTGCAGATGAAGAGGCTGCGGCTCAGGAATATGAACAACCCGGCCAAAGTCACAAAACAGGGAAGCACCGGCAGGGCTGGGGTTCTGGTCTGGGTTTGTCTGACTCCAGAGACCAGTGCCTTGTTCCTCATGGCTGCTGTGTGCTACCTCTTTGATGAACATCTAGGTTTGTGTCCTTCTCTGAGGAGTCCCCAGATTTCAGCAGTTTGAGGCCAGCTCAGCTTTTCCTTTCACCAATGGCCTAGAAGAGGCCAACAAGGTAGCTCTGAGGATGCCGCGAAGTGGAGAGTGGCAGTGAAACACTGGACGCCAGAGTGAGGGCCACACAGCAGTGGCCTTTATTGGTTTAGAGCATGGGGCCTCCACGTGGACTTAAATGCAGACCCTAGGCCTGCCCGTGTGACCTTGGGCGAGTGACTTAACCTCTCTGAGCCTCCATTGCCCCACCTGTAAAATGAGGGGTTTATAGTACCTACTTCATAAGGTTGCTGTGGGGATGACATGAGAAGCCATAGGTAAAGTTTCTGGCAAGAAACTTTCAACAAACAATAACTATTATTGTTACTATTAATTATTATTTGAGACGGAGTCTGGCACTGTTGGCTAGGCTGGAGTGCAATGGCACAATCTCGGCTCACTGCAACCTCCTCCTCCTGGGTTCAAGGGATTCTCCTGCCTCAGCCTCGTGAGTAGCTGGGATTACAGGCACCCACCACCATACCCGGCTTTTTTTTTTTTTTTTTTTTTTTTTTTTTGAGACGGAGTCTCGCTCTGTGGCCCAGGCTGGAGTGCAGTGGTGTGATCTCGGCTCACTGTAAGCTCCACCTCCCGGGTTCACGCCATTCTCCTGCCTCAGCCTCCTGAGTAGCTGGGACTACAGGTGCCCGCCACCACACCTGGCTAATTTTTTTGTATTTTTAATAGAGACAGGGTTTCACTGTGTTAGCCAGGATGCTCTCAAGATCCTCCCACCTCAGCCTCCCAAAGTGCTGGGATTACAGGTGTGAGCCACTGCGCCCGGCCAATTTTTTGTATTTTTGGTAGAGACAGGGGTTTCACTATGTTGGCCAGGCTGGTCTTGAACTCCTGAACTCGTGATTCACCCGCCTCGGCCTCCCAAAGTGCTGGGATTACAGGCATGAGCCACTGCCCCTGGCCTATTATGATTATTATTTACAGCTGAGATGAGGTTTGGACAGGGGAGAGCTTAAAAGGGATACATTTACCATTCTGCACTGGAGGCCTGAAAACAAACCATAGGAATCAAGACAGAAGTTTGGCACTGGAGGAAGGCCTTGGGCTGAGGGGTGCATGTTAACTGCATTGGCTTCCTCGGTCTGGTGCTATTTCTGAATATGCTCCTCTGGTCTGGACTGCATTTAGTGGGGAAAAGGAGTCCACAGAGAGGACGCCATGGTCCTGCTCTTCTGGCATTTGCTCAGACCACACGTGGAGACTGTGTCTGTCTAAGACAGACGGGTGGGCGCCGGAGCCTAGCTAGGCCTGGAAAATCAGAACTTAGGAGGAAAGGCTGAAGGAACTAGTGGTGATCTGCCTTGAGAAGAGCCAGCTCCAGAGGGATGTGACTGCCCTCAAATATCTGAATAGGCAGAGAGGGTCCTGATGGGAAGAATTGGGCCTAGCAGGCGCTGTGTGAGTCACAAGCCATTAACAGACATTCTGGAGTTTCCCGCCAGGCAGGACTGCCCTATCTCCTCCTGGGCCCTCAGACCCTGCCTGCCCAGCCATTTGAAACCTACAGCAGACATTCAGTCCTGGCAGGCAGCTTCCAGGCTGGGCCACTCAGGTTGCATCTCCCACTGATCTCATGCCTCAAGTATGACAGCAAGGCACATTCCCACCAGCAGAAAGAGGGTCTTAGGGAGCCCTGCACCCAGACCTCTTCTGAGGGAGAAAGAGCAACTGAGGCATAGAGAAGAGAAACAGCAGTTTGGGTGGCCAAGATGTGCTCAGCTTCCAGGGCCCTGGGCTCCCGGTCAAGGGCCTAACTGTGGGCCTTGCATGGCTTGGACACCACCCAGCCTGTTCCTGTGAGGCCTGGCTGTTGCCACCAAAACTGGGGTGGTCCAGGCAGAAATGCTTTCCTGGCTGGGACCCAGGCCCTGGCCCGAGGTTTGTCTTTCCACCCCAGAGGCAAGCACTATCCTCTTCCCACTGGTCCCAGGCTGCTGGAAAAACAACACAAGCAATGATTTTTATTTTTCTTAAAATTAACAAACAGTATTAAGGCCAGGTGTGGTGGCTCATGCCTGTAATCCCACTTTGGGAGGCCAAGGCAGGCAGGTCACTTGAGGTCAGAAGTTCAAGACCAGCCTGGTCAACATGGTGAAACCTCGTTTTTACTAAAAATACAAAACTTAGCTGGGCTTGTTGGCGCACACTTATAATCCCAGCTACTCAGGAGGCTGAGGTGGGAGAATCGCTTGAACCTGGGAGGCGGAGGTTGCGGTGTGCCAAGATCGTTCTACTACACTCTAGCCTGAGTGACAGAGCAAGACCTTGTCTCAAAACAAAACAAAACAGTATTATTAAAATCACATACATAGGTTTTCTTTTAAAAAATGTTAGGCAAATAAATGTAGAGCCCCTTTGCTCACCATCCTTCAATCCCAGTTGCCTTCCTAAAGGTAACATGGTTGTCAGGCTGGCCTGTATGGGCTCAGAACATTTTGTGTGGGCAACTGCATGCCTGTAGGGGGAATGATGTTTGTGTGTGTGTGTGTGTTTTAATACTTTGCGTTTCATTCTGTTAACTTGCTTTTTTTACTCAACATTATGCTTTCAAAATCTACCATACTAGTACATAGAGCTCTAGTTCCTTTTAAGCTGCTGTATAGTTTTCTTTTTCTTTTTTTTTTTTGGCGGGGTGGGGCAGAGTTTCGCTTTTGTGGCCCAGGCTGGAGTGCAATGGCACAATGTCAGCTCACTGCAACCTCTGCCTCTCAGGTTCAAGCAATTCTCCTGCCTCAGCCTCTGAAGTAGCTGGGATTACAGTCACCCACCACCATGCCCAGCTAATTTTTGTGTTTTTACTAGAGATGGGGTTTCACCATGTGGGCCAGCCTGGTCTCGAACTCCTGACCTCAGGTGATCGGCCCGCCTTGACGTCCCAAACTGTTGGGATTACAGGTGTGAGCCATTGTGCCCAGCCTGCTGTATAGTTTTCTATCGTGTGAACATGCTCTCTCTGTCTTGCCCATTTCTCTGCTAGTGGACATATGGGTGGTTTCTGATTTGTCACTAATGTGCTGCTGAGGTCTGCATCCCAGTGCCTACGCGCCTGTGCTTCCCTAAGCCATATGCTCGGAGGTGGAGGTGCGGGGTGACATAGCTCACACATTTCAGGTTACAAAGATCTGCCACATTGTCTTCTGCGGTAGCAGCACTGGCTTACCCTCTAACCAGCAGCACGCTGTGAAACTTTTCCCCTGCCACCTCACCAACTTTGCCTCGTTATCAAATGATTTCATTGTGCCAGTGTCCTGGAGGAGAAATGTCATGTATGTTGTAATCTGCATTTTCCCCCTGATTTTCAGTGCTCTTTCTAATGTTCTCTTCTCTCTCTAGTTTTGGGCCTTTTGTCCTAAGGGAAGCTTACTGAAGGGGAGTCTAGAGTCTTGCCTAGGACAAGTCAATTCTGACTCTATCAGCTTCATTTCTATTGCTAAGCAATGAGCCACCCATGTAGGCGCAGACTTCAAAATGGGCAAAGTTGAAAAAACCTCTTAAGAGGTACAGAATCGCTGGGAGTGGTGGCTTATGCCTGTAATCCCAGCACTTTGGGAGGCCGAGGTGGGCGGATCACGAAGTCAGGAGTTCGAGACTAGCCTGGCCAACATGGTGAAACCCCATCTCTACTAAAAATATAAAAATTAGGTGGGTGTGTGGTACAAACCTGTAATCCCAGCTACTCAGGAGGCTGAGGCAGGAGAATTGCTTGAACCTGGGAGGCAGAGGTTGCAGTGAGCCAAGATTGCCCTCCTGCACTCCAACCTGGGTGACAAAAAAAAAAAAAAAAAAAGATGTACAGAATCTTGCTTATAGAAGGGAAAACTGAGGCTCAGAGAGCAGCAGGGAGGGGCCCATACATGTGACCCACATGTCAGTATACTGCTGTCCCTGTTCCACACAGCCCACCTCTCCTGCTGCTCTCTTTCTCCAGGACCCCAGTGCCATTTGGAGGACCCCTCGTGGGGGGCACTTTTCCCAGGCCAGGCACCCCCTTCATCCCGGAGCCCCTCAGTGGCTTGGAACTCCTCCGCCTCAGACCCAGCTTCAACAGAGTGGCCCAGGGCTGGGTCCGTAACCTCCCAGAGTCCGAGGAGCTGTAGCCCAAGCCTGCATCTTCAGTTCCCCAGTCTTGGGGGCATGGTAACATCCGGAACTGAGACTTGCGGACAGCACTTCACAGTTTAAGAAGGGCCTTCACACACAAAACCTGATTGCAAATGGCCTCAGAGGTCACAAAGTTCAGTAGTCCCAAAACATGGGTGTGCTTCAAAATTACCTGGGGATGTTGTTCTGAATACAGATGACTGGACTGTCCCAGACTTGCAGCATCAGAGTCTCCTAAGTCAAGGAATCTGTATTACTAATAGCAACTAGGGCCGGGTGTGGTGGCTCATGCCTGTAATCCCAGCACTTTGGGAGGCCAAGGTGGGAGGATCACCTGAGGTCAGGAGTTTGAGACCAGCCTAGCCAAAATAGTGGAACCCCGTCTTTACTAAAAATACAAAAATTAGCCAGACATGGTGGTGCATGCCTGTAATCCGAGCTACTCAGGAGGCTGAAACAGGAGACTCACTTGAACTGGGAGGCAGAGGTTACAGTGAGCCGAGATTGCGCCACTGCACCCCAGCCTGGACAACAGAGTGAGACTCCTTCTAAAATAAATAAATAAATTAAATAAATAGCAACCAGTACTCCAGGTGATTCCAGCATAAATTTTCCATGGTTTGTGTCATTAGGAGTCTACATCCACACCTCTGCTCTTCCCTGTTCCTGCAGTGTACACTCCCCTGGTGACAGGGTGCTGCTCACTGGCACCCCATCTTCCTGTGAATAACTCAAATAATTAGAAAATGTTCCTTTTACTGAGAGGCAGTTGGTCTTCATCTATTCATGCTCTAAACACTTCCTAAGCACTGACTGTGTGCTAGACACTGTGCCAGGCCCGGGCCTCGAGGAGGAAAAGACAGTAGGGAAGACAGATTTATAGAGCATGAAATCATCATAATTTTCCCTAAAGCATGCTTATTGACAATTGAGGAACAGTGTATCGTGGGGCAGAGGAAGGAGTCCGTCACCCTAGGTGTGGGATGGGATTCCAGAAGCTTCCTGGAGGATTTGAGTGGGACCTTGGAGGAGGTGTGAGAGTCCATGAAGAGAAGGGGGTGTGAGGGGGAGGGTATTCCTGGAAAGTAGACCAGCATGTGCAAAAATGTGGAACTGAGCACAGGTGCAGGGTGTTCTGCAGAAGGGAGAAGGCTGTGCTAGAGGAGCCGGTGAGGGCCAGCGTGGGGTGGACCTCACTAAGGAAATGCGGAAGGTTTTAGTGATGGGTCTTGCTGGGTGCTGTGTGGGGCGTATATTGGAGAAGGGTAATGCCAGAAGCCAGGATGCCTGCAAGGGATGAGGCCATGGGAATGGAGAGAAGGGGCCGCCTGCTGGGCACCTTGCGGGACAAGTGCAAAGTGGGGTGCTTATTAAGATTGCTTCTTTCCACCGTCCATTTTGAGCAGGCTGTTTAAAGTGGTGGTGGTGGTGATGATGATGATGGCAGCTTTATATTGAGTGCCTCAGTGCTTGGGCTGGTGGTAGGTTCTCTACATATCTTATTTCTAATTCTCACAACAACCCTGAGAGAAAGATATTGTTGTCCCCATTTTACAGATGTGGATATTTAGGCTCAAAAGGAGGAAGTGACTTGTCCAGGGGCAGAGACCAAATGGGAATCTGATTCCAGTGGATGTGTTTTCTCTATACTGGGTGGTCACTGCCCACTCGCTCTGAAACCATCTGATTGTTGTGCCCTGCCTTGGAGTTTAGAAGTTGAGTGCAGGCTTGGGAGTCAGACTGGCTGGACTGGGTTCTAACTCTGCCACTGCTAGCCGGGTGCACTTGAGCAAGTCATTTCACATCCCCGAGCCTCTATTCTCCATCAGTAAGATGAGGACAAGTATAAAACCTCCTTTATGGGTTTGTTGTGAACACAGTGCAGGACAAATTTATAATAAGAGCTCAGTCAATGGTAGGTTTCATGCAACTGCTGCTCTAGGCTGGAAAAGTTGTCTGTGCACTAGATGCAGCATGAGAAGCTGGCTGCTAAGATGTCACTGGGGGTCAGTAAAGCTGAAGCCTGAAGGAAAGCCTCTCATTGCTGTAGAGCTCTCCCTGCCTCTCTCTCTGGGAGCGATGTGGAAGGTCAGGAGTCCAGCCCATTCCCAGGGTGCATGGGATAATGATTGCATTTTCCTTTTGCTCTGAAGTTTCACTCCCCTTCTGGGTCCCAAGGGCCCAATGGCCTGACTTTTAGAATTGCTTGCAATTGATGTTTTCTCTTGAATTTGGGGGCTGCCATTGAAAGCCAGGTTTCCATGTGCTGAAGAGCAGCCATTCAAGAGTCTGAAAAGTAGACAAAAGGACTCCGATTGCCTTGGGTTGGTTCTGCTGTGCTCTGGAAGGTAACTGTAGCCACCGGGTACGAAAAGGAGCCTGGTGGGGAGACCACTGCACCCAAAACAAATCCTTTCTTCTTCTGAGAGTGTGACTTTTTCTGGTGTTGTAAAAAAGAAAAAAAAAAAATAATGCTCATTGTAAAAATAAAATAATAAGGAGTAAAATGTGAAAGTGTCTGCCCACATAGCCCTCCCATGCACATATGTACACCTTCCTACCTTCCTGTCTCTGCTATTCCTATACACCAGAGGTAACCACTGATGACAATTTGGTCCTTCTAGAATTGTGGAATTATTTGAATGGATAAATATGTGCATGTGTATATAGATGCACACACACAGAGGCATGTCTTTGTTTTAACGGAATCATACTATATGGATTGTTCTGTATCATGCTGCTTTATTTAAGAAATAAAATTTGGATCCTGAAAAAGCAAATCACTCACCTTTCATGTAATTTGAGATTACATGAAATAAATTATAAGAAATCCTTCATATAGGCTGGGCGTAGTGGCTCACACCTGTAATCCCAGCAGTCTGAGAGGCTGAGGTGGGCAGATCACTTGAGGTCAGGAGTTCGAGACCATCCTGGCCAACATGGTGAAACCCCATCTCTACTAAAAATACAAAAATTAGCCAGGCATTGTGGTATGTGCCTGTAATCCCAGCTACTTGGGAGGCTAAGGCATGAGAATCGCCTGAACCCAGGAGGCGGAGGTTGCAGTAAGCTGAGATTGTACCACTGCACTCAGCCTGAGCGACAGAGCAGGACTCCATCTCAAAAAAAAAAAAGAAAAAAAGAAAATGAAAAGAAATCCTTCATATAAAATTCTATATTTTTGCCTGTTTTTGTTCTTTCTATAAATTAAATCATACAGTGATATGAAAATGAAAAGGACTAAGAATAGCTAAAACGCAGAGAAATGTGGCATTAGACATAGCAACAATGAACTATAGTTTCATGCAACGATGTGAATGCATCTCAGAAACATAATGGTAAGCAAAGGAAGGCAAATGTTTCCTGATGGAAGAAAAGATTTAATATAAAAGTCAGAATAGTGGTCACTTTGGGAATGGGGAGGGGTTCGTGAATGTGAAAGACCCCATCAAATGCTTCTAGGGTAGCTGGAAAAATTCTGTTTCTAGACCTGGGTGATTGTTACATCGATGTTCACTTTACAATATTTAAGTTAGTTGTACACCTGTGTGTTTCACACTTTTCTGCACATGTACATATTTTATCAAAATAATCCCTCCTTTTAAAATCGGAATGAACAAGTTAATAGGACATGAGACATACCTGAAGAGAGGATTAGTGAGCTAAAAGTGCCCATAATGCATCTCAGAGAGTTAAAGAGATGGAAAATATGAGAGAGAAGTTAAAAGATACAGAGAATAAAATGACAATGCCCAACACTACTAATGTCGACACTTTCCGGCAATAATGGAAAAATGTCTTCAAGGAGTGACAGCACAATACATTGATTTTCAGACAAACAAATATTAAGAGAGTTTTCTACTGACCCCTGAAAAAATGACAAAGAACATACTTCAGGAAGGACCCAGAAAGAAATCATAGAATCTAAGCAGCACTAGTGAGCAGAGAAATGGCAAGCATGTGACTAAGTCCTAAAACACGATCAATCCACTAGATGACAGGAAGGATGAAGAAGAAACACAAGCACATAAAATAAAGTGGTATAATTACTTTCAAACATATCAGTTATCATAAACTAATATTTACATTTAGACAGGACTCACCAGTTTAAAGATAAAGACTTGTGGATTGGGCCGGGTGCAGTGGCTCATGGCTGTAATCCCAGCACTTTGGGAGGCCGAGGTGGGCGGATCACGAGGTCAGGAGATTGAGACGATCCTGGCTAACACGGTGAAACCCCTGTCTCTACTAAAAATACAAAAAATTAGCCAGGCATGGTGGCGGGTGCCTGTAGTCCCAGCTACTCGGGAGGCTGAGGCAGGAGAACAGCATGAATCTGGGAGGCGGAGCCTGCAGTAAGCTGAGATCCAGCCACTTCACTCCAGCCTGGGTGAAAGAGCAAGACTCTGTCTAAAAAAAAAAAGACTTGTGGATTGGACGAAAATAATTTCAGTTCTGTGCTGTTCATAAGCAGCGCCCCTAAAATATGTGGCACAGAAATAAAATAAAGAAACTGTCTGACACGGTGGCTCATGCCTGTAATCCCAGAGGCGGGAGGATCACTTGAGGTCAGGAGTTTGAGGTTGCAGTGAGCTATGATCATGCCATTGCACTCCAGACTGAGCAAAAGAGACCCTGTCTCAAAAAAAGAAAGAAAAAGAGAAACAGAGAAAGAAATACTATCCAAAAGAAATGTGTTTTAGACGGGCGTGGTGGCTCACGCCTGTAATCCCAGCACTTTGATTGAGACCATCCTGGCTAACACAGTGAAACCCCGTCTCTACTAAAAATACAAAAAAATTAGCCGGGCGTGGTGGGGGGCGCCTGTAGTCCCAGCTACTCGGGAGGCTGAGGCAGGAGAATCACTTAGGAGGCGGAAGTTGCAGTGAGCCGAGATCGCGCCACTGCACACCAGCCTGGGTGACAGAGCAAGACTCCATTTCAAAAAAAAAAGAAATGTGTTTTAGCCACATTAACATCAGACAAAGTAGACTTGATGGCAAAAAGCATTATTGTGATAAAGCAGATCTTCACGTAAGAATAAACCCATAGTCACAGTGGAAGATTTAACACATTTCTTTCAATTATCGATGGGTTATCAGATAAATAATTAGTAAGGATATAGAAGATATGAAAAATAAAATGAAAAAGCAGCATCCTGCACCACCAGATTAGAGAATACTCATTCTAACTACATACACTTTAAAAAACCAAATATACAAAATTCAAAACTTTTGTGCATCAAAGAATACTATCAAGAGAGTGAAAAGAGAACCCACAGAATAGGAGATTATAGCTCAAAGAATAAATACCAGTGAAACTGTAGGGATATAAATTAATAATTTAATAAATAAAAATCAAACAAGTGAGAAAGAAGGGATAAAACTTCCTTTTTCCTTGTAGAAGACTTTCACATAATGTATGTAGATACTTGCCCCTTTAAGAGGTGGAGGTTAATTCCCATCCTATTGATTATAGACTGAACTTATCAACTTGCTTCCAAAGAACAGAGCATAGGAAGAGAAAAATTATGACTTCCCAAAGGAGAAACCTGGAAGACACTCCCTTAATGAAGTAATCAAGGTTAACATCATCAGTGATACTCAGATTTCTGATATGAAGTGATGAGAAGGGCACTTCCTCTTGTGATATTGTTCCTCAAATCCTTAACCCCAGTCTAATCATGTGATAACATCAGAAAAACCCAGTTGAGCAACATTCTATGAAAACACCTGACCGGTACTTTTAAAACCTACCACAGCATGAAAAACAAGGCAAGACCAATCAACTGTCACCGATTGGAGGAGACTGGGAGACGTTACAACTAAGTGTCATGTGGAAGCCTAGACTGAATTCTGAAACAGAAAAAAGGACAGGAAAAAAAGGTGAAATCCAAATAAAGACTTAATTGAGTTAATAGTATGGTACCTATGTTAATTTCTTGTTTTTTTTTTTTTTTTAATTTTTTGTTTTGAGACAGTGTCTCACTACTCTGTCACCCACGCTGGAGTACAGTGGCTCAATCTCAGCTCACTGCAACCTCCAGCTCCTAGGCTCAAGTGATTCTCCCACTTCAGCCTTCTGAGTTGCTAGAACTACAGGTGTATGCCACCACACCTGGCTAATTTTTGTATTTTTTGTAGAGCTGGGGTTTCACCATGTTACTCAGGCTGGTCTTGGACTCCTGAGCTCAAGCAATCCATCTACCTTGGCTTCCCAAAGTGCTGGGATTATAGGCATGAGCCACCACGCCTGGCCAATTTTTTAGTTTTGAAAAACATACTAGGCCAGGCATGGTGGCTCACATCTGTAATCCCACCACTTTGGGAAGCTAAGGCAGGCAGATCAACCTGAAGTCAGGAGTTCAAGACCAGCCTGGCCAACATGATGAAACTCTGTCTCTATGAAAATACAAAAATTAGCCAGGCGTGGTGGTGGGCGCCTGTAATCCCAGCTACTCAGGAGGCTGGGGCAGGAGAATCGCTTGAACCCAGGAGGTGGAGGTTGCAGGGAGCTGAGATCATGCCACTGCTTTCTAGCCTGGGTGACAGAGCCAGATTCTATATTAAAAAAAAAAAAAAAGAGTCCGGGTGTGGTGGCTCACGCCTACAATCCCAGCACTTTGGGAGGCCAAGTGGGTGGATCACAAGGTCTAGAGTTTGAGACCAGCCTGGCCAACATGGTGAAACCCTGTCTCTACTAAAAATATACAAACATTAGCTGGGCATGGTGGCATGCACCTGTAATCCCAGATACTCAAGAAGCTGAGGCAGGAGAATTGCTTGAACCCAGGAGACGAAGGTTGCAGTGAGCCGAGTTTGTGCCACTGCACTCCAGCCTGGTCAACAGAGCAAGACTTTGTCTCGAAAAAAAGGAAACAAGCCGGGCGCAGTGGCTCACGCCTGTAATCCCAGCACTTTGGGAGGCCGAGGCGGGTAGATCACCTGAGGTCGGGAGTTCGAGACCAGCCTGACCAACATGGAGAAACCCCATCTCTACTAAAAATACAAAATTAGCTGGGCCTGGTGGCACATGCCTATAATCCCAGCTACTAGGGAGGCTGAGGCAGGAGAATTGCTTGAACCTGAGAGGCGGAGGTTGCGGTGAGCTGAGATCGTGCCATTGCACTCCAGCCTGGGAAACAAGAGTGAAACTCCGCCTCAAAAAAAAAAAAAAAACATACATACTATGGCTATGTAAGGTGTTAACATGATGAGGCGAAGCTGGGTGAAAAGTATACAAGAACTGTCTTTGGAACTTTTCTGTCTATCTGAAGTTATTCCAAGATAACAAGCTGTGAAACTAAAGACAAACAAATCCCACAGAGAAAACACCAGGACCTGATCACTTCACCAGAGAATTGTATCAAACATTTAAGGAAAAAAAAAAAGAGCATTGTTACACAAATGCTTTCAAAATACAGAGGAAGAGAGAACATTTTCCAAACAAATTTTATAATGCCAGAAGAAACCCGACAAAAATGTTACAGAAAAGGCCA